GGTCAATGATATCATAAATTATATTTTATATTCGATAAGTTCAACTTAATTGATGATTTTGTTTGTTAATATTTGCTTAACTACAAAATATTTTAAAGTTTATAAAGAATCTCATTTTATGTAGGTTCTTGGTACTTTTTTATTTGTACATATTCATTTTTCATCCCATATCCAAATACAAATTTAAATGCGGATCTTACATGTTTATTAGAAATATATGTATATTTTTTCAAAAAGTATGACGATCATATAATTAATTTTATCATATATCATATGTTGGATATTATTAGTTTGGTTGGGGACACTCATTATATTCAAATAAATAATATATAATTTTTCATATTTGGTATTTTTTTTTATAATAATAAGATGTTAAATATAAATAACTATGTTTAATATAAAGTCTTAGAAAAGGTTTTAAGTAAAAACCCCTCCGTGCAGCGCACGGGATACACACTAGTAAAACTAGAAAAGAATTCATTAATTCTCTGAAGAAATTTGTCCAATAGGAACAAAACCAAAAATGGTGAATTTTTAATCAATTATTAGATCAATTGATGGATATCAATATGCAATATACCAATATACCAGTATATACATCATTATGTAAACTAATTGAATGAATCCATAAACTCACATAATAGTATATATGATCATTATTATTACGTATATTTATTTTTTTATGTGACATATACCTTAACTTGAGTCCCAAGTGGCAAATATTTTATTGATAACTTCCAAAGCTACAAATTCTCTTATCTTGAACATTCATTTATTTTCTTCCATCTAATCATTTGGCATTGAAAAATACAAAAGAGAACACAATTTGTGCAGTGGAGGTAGTCTTTCTTGTCCTACCATATTATTTCGCCATACCCCATAAAGAAAACATTGTAAATATGAATCAATTGTCTATTTTTCTAATAATCCTAAAAGTATACTTTTTGTGCATTTTTAGGTTAGAGATATTTATTTAATTTTTTTTTAACACATGTACAAACAATATACATTTGCAATAAATAAACAAAATAAAATTTTCATGTGTATTACAATCTTGTTTTAGTTACATTCCATGCCAGTAAGGCGACCCATTAACAATGCTTCACTCTCAAACTCCTATTGGTACAAGTTATATTTAGAACTAGGGACCATATGCAATTTTATTATAAAATAACTAACCAATTAAAGTGCTTTTTTATGCAGATCAATGTCAAAAACTTGGAAGCAATCTAGAAAACTTTGAATACTTGAAGTGGAAAACCAATCCCATGAAGCCATCTAGCAATTTTTACTTACCAAATTTATTTCCTTAGAGGAAAAAAAATGTCAAACAAATAAAGACATGTGATGCAAGTCACCCAACTAACAGCCATCTCTTTTCCTTTTCCACCCTTTATATTTTCTCATATTTCATCTTTTCATTTTTTCTTAGTTCTTATGAGCTTTAAATTTTCTTCTGGTTTTCTTTAAAGGAATTGATGGGCAAGTTGATGGTATACAAAGTGAGGACTTGTAAATTTGTGTATATCTCGAGCTCTCTTATATCTACTTGAACTCATGTATGGGAATCTCAATTCACAATGTTTTTCAATGTTAAACGTTGATTACATTTAAATTCAAATGAGTTTTTTTGACTTTTTGTTTGGTATTATTATTTACAATTTTGCTATGGAGTCAACAGTTGGCTCCATAATAGAGTCAAACTTCTATATACAACAAGTAAACCATACTATATTCTCTTATTACTTAAATAATACTAATAACTTTATTCATATGGTATGATTTACTTGTTGTATATATAGAAGGTACACTACAAAAAAAAAAATTATATTCCAACGGAAAATCCTACTGTAATATATTTCAATGGAAATTCCAAGGGATATTCCAACGGTATAGCTTCCGTTGAAAAATTCCAACGAAAATATTGCGTTGGAATGAGTTTCCCATTAGAATTTTAGATGGAATTTGATTATTCCAACGTTTATTTTTCCAACGGTTTTTTACTATAAGAATTTCTGTTGGAATATGCAATTTCCATTGGAACTCATTTCAACGGAATATTTTTGTTGGAATTTTCGTTGGAATTCCATTACAATATATTTGTAATGGAATTTTTCGTTGAAATTTCATCATTTTGTTGTGGTGTTATTATTTATTGTACTTAAACTAACTGAATAGTTGTTGATATGTAAATATATATACTTTCTCTATTAGAATATAGTGTCACATTGGAATATACCCTTAGACAATAGTAATCATTTACTGGAAAACATAAAAAATATTAAAATCTGTAATAAGATCAATAATTTATTTCAACTAAGAGCATCTTCAATATTGCTTTTGACATTATAAAAATTCATCCATATCATCAATTTTTGAAAGTCTGTCACTAATTTATTCTCCAATGCATCTTGTCATGAACTCTTTCATGATGAGGTGGATAGCATTTAATGTTGACAATGTTGAACATACTTTCTAATATCTAACACCATGTTAAACATGATGACTAATCTATTCACTTTATATTTGATTTAATTTTTTATTGTTCTTGTATTAATGATTATTTTAAGTGGTTCACCTATACAAATAACTTTTTATCAAATTGATGCATTGGAGATACTAGTTTGATTCAAATTTCAATCTTTTTAACATTATTCTTACATGGATTAACATTACAATCATTGATTGACATGTGTTAAAAATTATTGTCTTTCAAAACTATAACATTGGAGATGCTCGTAGTCTCATAAGATTTTAGCTCATGTATGAATAGAGAAATTTTGGTTTTTGGTTTTTTTTTTTATTTATTTTTTTAAGAAGAATGGGTTTTCGCTTTTGATTTTCAAATTTGGTTATTTCAATTCGATGCGGTTTTCAATTTAAAAACCTTGAATTAACCAAACTACATAAATATGTTATAATTAATATATATATATATATATATATATTATCTTAGTGTATAAAATATTAAAATTAAATAAAAATTTAAAACTAATATATCTATTTATATTGTTAATTATAGAATATTTTGCTTAACCTAATCGAAATAAATGATTATTTTGATTTAGTTTAAATTTTATTTTGGACAAAAATTTGATCAGTCTGGTTTATGTAATTGAAGCATTCATTTACTTCAATTTTGCAAGTTTGGTTGGTTAAGAACCGACAAGACTTCCATAGTTGTATATATTTAAAGCCATATTAGATATTCTAAGGAGCCATTGGATGACTATGAATGACTTCATAGCAAAACCTTAAAGCATATCTTTACAGTTCAGTATTCTTGTATTCTTCAAATATATTTAAAGCATCACAAATAATTGTGAGACATGCTCTATGAATAAAAACATAAACTTATACTATCAAATATCATACTTTGACATACTTCTATTTATTGTATTTTTTAAAGTACGACATTTTCTAATTAAAGTATGCATATTTGTGAAAATAGTACGTCGACCTAATAGTTAAGCTGGCCTAACACAAGACATACCGTTAAAGCATAGATAGATCAATATAATGCGTACTTATTTTCTTTTACTAAAATTAACTTATGTTAGACCGTTATTTGTTTATTTGGCATGGCTACATGGGCTATAATAACTTCAAAATTTTCCAAGATTATATGTAGATGTATTATAAACAATTAGTAAATTAATGTATATTCAGATACATAACCTCATACAATATAAACTTATAAACTAAATACACTTTCTTAAACTACCATTTTGAAGAAACACTTATGCTGCTTAGTGGTCTAGGATACAATTCTGTTAAACTTACAATTGCTACTTGCATATAGAAAACTCATGAGTAGAGCTATTAAATGAAGTGAACCGAATGTGAATTCGGCTTAACTCACTTGTTAATGCTTGAAATTATGAATTTTTTATTTTATTTTTTATAGTTTTCTATGGTTTAAATACTCGACTTCTAGTTTGGCTCATTACTAACTCCCATGATCAACTATAATAAAATGTAAACAAGGGTAATCACATCCTTGTCATAACTCATAACCTTGCCACAAGTTGGAATCTATATCTTTAACTGGAATCAGTCAGATGTGGAAATCTAATTTCCGATTGCGTCCAACCAAGAGCATGATAATATAGTACATATTTCTTGCAAAGCCTTGAGAAATGTGCCCCTTTAGGCCAGGACACGTGGCTTTCTTGAATTCCGTTTCATGAAGAGTCCAACATCTTTGAATATTTATTACAAGCAAAATACTAAAGTATATAATTTTTAATTATTGTGCATAAAGTTCATTTTCCGTTTTTCTATTGCCATTGATTGGAGTTAGATAATGTCTATACAGGTGTCCTTTGAAGCAGTGCTCAAGTAAAAGCCTTTTTTCCCCCACAAAATTTCTCTCTCCCCCTCCCTCCCTCCCTTTACCAGTTAAAGGCTGAAAATAAGTGGGAATAAAAATCTGAGGGAACTGAATAAACTTTGAGCCCGTGTGGGTTCTTGGGCTGTTTAGGCTTGCTAAGCCACGTGTAAGGCTTGTTTTTGGTGTTTCAGCTTAAATTCTTGGTTAGAATTCATTCACGTCTTATTTTCTTTGATAGATAGTTGAATAATTGGTTCGTGATTTTGATTGTTTTAGTTCCTTTTTTGTTGAAGAATAATTATAGCTTCTTTTGTTGAGCTTCTGTTTTTAAAGAATGAACCTTGATTTTTTTTTTTCTTTTTTTCGGGAGAAAGGGTGGATTTTGTCTGAAAAATAAAGAACCCCATTTTCTTCAAGAGGCTGTGAAGAGTTGCCTTAGATCCAGGAAACCCATGTTCCATGTGGCAAAAAGTTAGCATCTTTATGGCGTTTCCTCGTGAATCTTGAGGTGTTTGTTTTTCCGTTTACTTAGTTTCTTTTTCTACATCGGTTTCCCTTCTTGGACTTGTTTGTGTTTGCCGTTTTCTTTTTTCTCCCGGTGTCTATAAGGGTTTGTAGTGTGATTTGTGTTTTGTATTATTCAGTTCTTGAATTCTGGATGTCAAAGTCTTGATTTTTCTATAAATGGAACTTTAGATCCTATATTTAACAGCTAGATCTAATTCTTGATAACTCTTTGCCTCTCACTCGTTTTCCATTTGTTGGTGAAACTATTTTTTCTTGTACCTTGTCTTGACCTTTTGTTATTTCCGTTTTGCTTAGTTCTTCCTGAAGGACTTACTGGTGGGCTTACAGCTTTCTCAGCTCTTGAATTGTCGCCTATTTCAATAATCTCTATGGCTCCCAATTTTTTCTTCCGATTTTCATAAAGAACCTCCATGATGGAAGAGATTTCTCCAGTTGCCCTTGGCTTAAATACAATCACACGACTCAAACTAGAAACCGAGGCTGCAAGCCTTCTATCAGATCCAGCAATGGTTATGAACGAGATGGTCGAAGATAAAGGAAAACCCATTATTTTAGTTCAAGAAGTTAGTGAAGAAGACGAAAATCTCTCGGTTGTGGATGACCCTAGTTTATTGACTAGTGTAGAGTTACTACCATTAGATGCTGCTTCAAATTTAAACGTGCCTTTAGCTACTTCTTCCAAGACGAGCTTACCCATTGCTGTCGAGATCGAGGGCACTGAGAATGGGCAAATACTTGCGAAAGTCATTAGTGTGGAGGAGAGAAGCATAAAAGGGAGGTTATCTGGAGATATTTTGACTGTAGCTGGAAAACATAATGAAGAGTGCTCAAGTGGGCCCACAATCAAGTCATCGGTGGTTGCTGTCAAGTTAGCTGGTGAAAAGGACTCTGGCAAAGGCACGGTTAAGAGCGTCTTTGAATTGGATTGTTTGCCTCTTTGGGGTTCAGTGTCCATTTGTGGGCATAGATCTGAAATGGAGGATGCTGTTGTGGTTGTGCCTAATTTCATGAAAATTCCTATCAAGATGTTTATTGGTGACAATGGATTGGATGGGATAAGCCAGACTTTGAGTCACCTAACCTCGCATTTTTTCGGAGTTTATGATGGTCATGGTGGGTCTCAGGTATGTATGATAATCGAAAACTGAAATTGGTCTATCAACAGATGATTACTTGATTTTTTTCAACCTGAATTTTCTGTTTCGGGAGTGTTGTGATTTTATTTGACTGTTGGGCTAATGACCAGATTAAACTGAAATCGGTGCTTAGTGGCTTGTTTATGTATACTATATATGAGTGTTTCTTCTCTTTTCAAACAATGACTCTGTGAATTTAATGAAGCTACTACATATCTGCCATTTTTTTTTCCAATTTAGTTGTTTTTATGAACATAATATAATTTCCTACATGTTACAAGATATTTTTGGGAAGATGAGATCAGAAGTTAGAGTTGCTGAAGTGCTTCTGTTAGAGCTTGTAAGATTTTGGTAATGACACTTTAACAGTAAAACTAAAAAAGGCTGTCAAAATTAGATTTTTTTTTTTTTCATAGAAAAGTTGAGATCTCCATCTTTCTAAAAATAGTGCGTAAGCTTAAGAGGTATTTTAGTTTGGATGCATATGAGATCCTTATTTAACAAACTCTGTTTTGCGGAGCTTATCTCATTTACACCTCTCTTGCTGCGCTTAAATAAAAAATCCTGCGTAGTGCTGAATCCATTTTTTACTGCTAATGTAGTAATTAATTTTTTCTCCATCTATTGAGATCCCTAATTGTTAAAAAATGCAGTACATTGATCATTCAAACTCCATTTGCCATTATTCACATTCTTCTACTTGTAGGTTGCGAACTATTGTCGTGACCGTATCCATTTTGCTCTGGAAGACGAGTTAATAAACATTAAAGATGTGATGGTGAAAGATATTTCCCGAGACCCTCGGCAAGTGCAGTGGGAAAACGTCTTCACAAGTTGCTTTGCTAAAGTTGATGAAGAAGTCAGTGGAAAAACGAGCAAAACCGTACCTTCCGAAGGAGATGATGATGTGGACATGTCTTCACCTATTGCCCCTGAAACAGTGGGGTCCACTGCAGTTGTTGCAGTTGTTTGTTCATCCCATATTATAGTAGCAAACTGTGGGGATTCAAGGGCGGTCCTTTATCGTGGTAAAGAAGCCATTGCATTGTCGATCGATCATAAAGTAAGTGGGTTTTTAGTTAAAAATGAAGTTTTAGAGGTTTTTTTTGGGAAATTGGAGTAAATGTCAAAAATATTGTCGGTAAATCTTTTCAGCCGAGCCGAGAGGATGAATATGCTAGGATTGAGGCTGCTGGTGGAAAGGTCATACAGTGGAATGGACACCGTGTTTTTGGTGTTCTTGCAATGTCAAGATCTATTGGTAGGATTAGATTCTCATTTTGTTTTCTTTCTTCATGCATGTGCATGGAAAGTCATGAGTTTTCTATTTTTTTTTTTTAATGTTGGAAAATGTCTATTTTAACTGACAAATGTCGTTACTTTGAGACTTTTTTATCTGGAATTAATTATGAGCAAAATAGGGTTCATGAAATCTACTATTTTAGGCTTCTGGTGACTGCACGAACAGTGCTCGATGTAATTTGTGATTTTTTTTTTCATGGAGATTTAATGTGCTTTCATATTGCACTAATGTTACCTACCAGAAGCATATATGCTTTCAGAAACTGTCTCTGATGAAAGTGAAAAAGTTATTGGGAGGTGAATCTGATTTAGATGTTAGTTCAAAATGTGTATTTCTTTAATTTTCCTGTTATCATGAATAATGCAATTAATATTTAGGTCTCTTCAAACCGAGTAAGTTGCTTGATATGCTTTTCCTTCTCTCTTCAAATCCATCCTCGGAAGGGAAACTCCATTTCAGTACTAGAACAGGAAAACACTTCTATTTTTGTATGTAGTCTTTGAAAGCATATTTTCCCCACTGACGATATATAACGTGTTTATTTTTGGTCTTGTGTACCTTCGCTTTTTCTACTGACGATATATAATATTAAGCAGTTGAGTTCAATTTGCATCTTTTTCCCCTTTGTTCTCATCAGGTGACAGATACCTAAAGCCATGGATTATACCAAAGCCCGAAGTCATGTTCGTGCCTCGAGCCCGAGACGACGATTGCCTAATCATCGCCAGTGATGGGCTTTGGGATGTGATGTCCAATGAGGAAGTTTGTGAGTTGGCCCGAAAGCGAATCTTAATTTGGCACAAAAAGAATGGAATGAGCCCATTAGTGGAAAGGGGCCGTGGGGTGGACCCTGCTGCACAATCAGCTGCCGAGTACTTATCGAACGTGGCCCTACAGAAAGGGAGCAAGGACAATATTTCCGTGATTGTTGTGGACTTGAAAACCCAAAGGAAGTTCAAGAGTAAATCGTGAGTTTGCTTTTGTTACGATTATTAAAATTTGCATATTCTTCTTCTTCTTCTTCTTCTTCTTCTTCTTCTTCTTCTTCATGATGATGATGATGATGATGATTTTATAGTGCACGGTGCATAATTGTTTTGTCTCGATTATTGCATTTGATGACTTGATCCCATTTATTTGTTTTTCTTGGTGGAGAAATTGAACGTTATGGGAACATGGGAAAATGTATACGGATTATGGCCGCGAAGCGGTCTTCCTAAAATCGCCGTGTATATCGAATAAAAAGTGTTGTTTATGTGGTTAGCATTTGTTAATTCATGGTGATCTCTTTTCCTATTCTTGCGTTTATGTGGGAAAATGTATTTGCCAATATTCTTGCATTTGAATAGAATAGACTTTGCTGAGTAGTCCTCCGATTACGACAATACAGTGGCAATTTTCTTCTTCTCCAAACAGGTTTTCGCAGAGAAGGTCCCAGCTTCTAAACCCACAGAAGAAGAAAGAAACTTCCCTCCAAATATTTAATTAAGATGGTCCATGCATTTAATTTAGTTGCAGTTGGCTTTGAATTTTAATTTAATCACCACTAGCTACTAAAAGGAATCAGTTGAAAATTATTAGCTGCTAAAGAAATCAGTTGAAAGACTATTACCAATATTTCTCCTGTATGTTTTTCAATTCAACTCCTTTTTCAGAACAAAATCAGAATGTTTTTCAACTCCTTTTCAGAACAAAATCAGAAAGATTTTTTTTTTTTTTTTTCCCAGGAGGAGAAGAAGAATTTGATGTGATACTGTGATCCAAAATCAGAGTTGAACCTGACTTTTTTCTTGTCCCATATATTAACTCTTAGTTAAAAATTTGTATTTGTTTTTAAAAAGTCATTTCGTTAACCAAGTGTCAAATGAAAAAACATTCACCAACCAAAAGAACTTTGAAATAAAGGATTCAACTATAGATCATCTTATATATAAGAACCATCATTCTTCAACAACTAAAAGAAACATATGTACCATAATATACCTCAAGTTCATCCATAAAAAACCAAATAAAATATTCTTCCCATAGAAAAAAAAAAGAAAATTAAAATAAAATCCTTAAATCAACATCGAAAGAATTGAATCAAATCGACTCGACTAGAAAACTGGACACCCATCAACTACCACTCCCCTTGCAGTCGGGCACGCGGCCAAGTCACAATGCTCCCCAGCCGAACCCCACCACGAGACCCCCTTTTCCTCCATCCCGAGGCTAAAGTACAACAATACCCCCATGAAAGCCAGCCCCGCATCAAGCGCTGCCGACAGAACATAGTTGTACCTCTGCCACCAACCCTTTCTGTATCGGTACACAAATAGGTTGAAAATCGTCCCCACAACTATCCAGCTGTTGTAGTTGACCGACGAGGCCGGTGGCATCATAGCCGTGGCCCCGAGCAAAACGGGTATGTTGATCAGCTTTATCCATCCCTGGCTCGGGAACAACTTGTGGAAACCCCACACCACAACTGGGCCCAATGCCCCGATAAGGAAACACCAGTTGAGGGCTCCGTAATTCCCGAGCACCCCGAAAATCCTCTTGGGCCCCACAAGCCCCCATATAACTGACGCATCGTAGAAAACCCGGTCACTCGGGCAGGTCCACGGGCTGTTTGCGGGCAGCAGCTGGTCTTGGCAGATGTTGGCCACGCTCGTCAAAAGGTACCATGCTACGCAAACGTTTATTGACCCCGCTATAATAGTCCCCACCAGCTGTTGTTATACATGTATAATGTCGATTAATTAATCTTCGTTTGTGAAATATATATATTAAAAAAATAAAAGAAAAAACAAATGTGTTATAACCTGAACTATGAACATGGATCTAGGTGGGATCTTCATGTAATGGCCGAGCTTGAAATCGTTGAGAAACCCAATGGCTTGGCTCATGCTTATGTATCCGTAGGTTTTGAAGCAAACGTTGGCAATCGGCCTCCCGGGATATATCACTCCCATTATGTATTCCGTGATTACGTTAAGTCCCGGTGTCTGTTTTAACCACAAAAATGAAGTTCGATTAATAATAAAATCAGCTTTCCAGAGTTGTTTTCGAAGAGTTCAATAATAAAAGGATATATACCTGATTGGTAGTTGCTGTAATAACGCTTATGGGGAGCGTAAAGGCCAACGCAAGAGCCGCCGCGAAAAGTAGGCCCCACCACGGAAGCTGAACCTCCTTTCTCATGAAAATGCAAAGCGCCAGCGACACAACCAACGTTATTGCAAGCATCCCGTAAAACCACCAACCGGGTATATCTTCGTATTTCCTCATCAGCCTCGTGTGAATGTCCGTTTTACTCTTGTAAGACGCGCGAAAACGCCCCCAAATTTCCCTGTTTTTATTATCATCATCGAGAAAAAAATCCACAAACATAATATTATTAGAGGAAAGTCGCAAAAAACGAAGCAAAATTCGCTAGAGAAATCGAGAAAAAAAGAAAAATTATATATACTTCACTTGATCACTTACTTTCCATTAAAGAACGCGACATGAGTTAATGTGGCCATGACAGCCGCGAAATTCAGCCCGTACGTGAGCGCGAAAAACACGCTCAGATTTATCCGACCCTGCTTCTCGTAAGCCGGCAAGTCGATCTCAAACTTATCGTTCACGATAGACGACACGTCGTAGGTCCCACCGTTACGGTTAAACAAATGCGAGGAGAAAATGGGAAATGTCTTTGCACTGTAGAGGTTGAGCCCCCAATACGCAACTGGCATAATTAAGTAGACAACGGCCGCGTAGCCGACAAAGACATTTACTATGGCGAAAAAGGGCGAGACGAGCGGGCTACCGAGATAGGAAGCCACGACAGACCAGTCGAGGGTCATTGAGAATATGCCGAGGCCACGCATTCCCGAGCCTATTTGTTGGGCCCGAACGGACTTTGGGAAGGCGAGGCAGAGGATGGAGATGCTCGAGAGGGTCGGGAAGAGGTAGCCAGGGAAAATGTACCACGCGAAGCTGCACGCGAGGGCAATCATGAAGAAACGGGCGCGCGAGTTCTTGCGTTCGTCTTTTTCGTGAAGGGCTCTGTGGAAAGAGGAAGTAGATTGGCAGTTAAGTTAGTTAAGAGGATGGTAAATTGTGTAATTTGAAATGAAACAGAGAGGTTTTGTTTTTTATTTTTTATTTTTATTTATTTTTTACCTGAAGAGTGAAACTTGAACGAGGCAGCTTGGCCACCACATCTCTGCAGGCTCTACCACGTACTTCTTCATAATCCCAGCCCATCCATAACCCAAAACCTGCACCCCCAAACAAGTGATTAATTAGTTGAAAGTTAGTACATAGGTAAAATATACACAGTGAAATGTAAACAATGTAATTTAGAAAACAACGACAAAATAAACAACAAATCAACCATTATATATAAACAATTCAATTTAGAGACCAATGAATAAATAAATAACAAATCAAGCATTTATAAATAGTGAAAGTTGGAATATTTGGAAGTAGAAAAAAAAAAATTGTACTGCATAATTTTCTCAAAAGTAGTTAGACCCATAATTTGGTTTCACAATTAGTTGAGATTTTCTCGGATATCAAACATCAATTATCAATTATTATCCTATAAATCCCAAATATATCCAAAATTGTAGTATTAGAAGTTTTCATAAAGCATATACAGTTTTGGTTTTTAAAAACAAAACAGGTAGGATTAATATAAAATAGGAACCAAAAAACTAGCAATTTTGCTTAATAAAACAAATTCTGATTTTAAGAATTCTGGTCTGGAAATTCCTATTTAATGCAATTATGGTCCAACAATTCCCCAAAAATGTACATCCACTCTCTCAAATACTACTCCAAATTCCAATTATTCGTCATTATTCTAGACTATCTATTTATTCAAATTGTATCAATCTGTACCAAAAAAAATCTCGATTCTATAAATTCAAATTATTTGCCATTCTAGACTATCTATTTATTCTAATTCTATTATTCTAGACTATTTATTTAATTATTCAAATTGTATCAATCTTTACCCAAAAAATCTCGATTCCCTAAATTCAAATTATTTGCCATTCTAGACTATATATCTACTTATTCTAATTGTATCAATCTCATAACTTTAAAATACCAAAAAAAATCTCGATTCTCTAAGTTCCAATTATATATTTGTCATTCTAACTATCTATTTATTCTAATTTTATAAATCTCATAACTTTTGTATACCAACAAAATCTCGATTCTCTAACTAGACTATCTAACTATTCTAATTGTGTCAATCTCATAACTATAATCTACCAAAAAAAAAATCTCGATTCTCTAAGCATCATTCGAAAAAGAAAAAGAATACATAAACATATGATTCAGAAATTAGATTCAAATTTAATCAATATTATGTTTTGACAAAATAACTATGTGAATTGTTAAAATAACTAAAATAAAAGTGAAAAAAAGAGAGAACACCTGAGTAGTGATAACAAGAATCCAACTGGCGATGAAGGATATTTTCCTCCGGTAAATAGCCTTGATGATGTCAACAATCCCGACAGCATAAGCCGTGCCTGAGCCGGCGTTTGCGAAAATCGAGATAAGCACGTGCTCTTTCATGTTAAACGGGCCCGGGTTCAAAGTAAATTCCCACAACCCGAACAAATTAAACTTCCTCTTCGGGAGCACGGCTGCCATGAACCGTCCGATGGGGAGAGTGGCCACCTGTACGGAGATCATGGTTATGGCGAGTGGCTCCGTACGGTAGCTGAAGAAAGTGTTGAGAAAGGAGAGGAGCACGCAAGAGAGGAGCCCCAGGAACCACATGCGGAAGGTCCAGACGGGTTGGGTCGGGTCGTCGTCATTGGGTACGGTCAGACGGACCTGCTCGACCGGTGAGTCGGACCACTCGTCTTCGTCGACGGTTTTCGGGTGGTGAGGGGGAGCCTCCATTTCAAAGGAGGCCATCGGAGATTTTTTTTATTGCCTTTTCTTTTTTCGTTCTTCNAGTATATGCATGGAATCGATGTGTGTATTTATGTACGTGTGATTTTCAGATTCCTTGGATTGAGACCGTCTCCAAGTCAAACTCCAACTCCATTATTTACCTAAAACAATGTATATCAATTTTATATCGGGTGATTAATTAAATCGAATTGCGGTGCTGGTAATTCAATGTGTGAATATGTTTTGGAGTAGTGCACCTATAGACTTTTAAGAAAAATTATAAAATAATTAACTTAACTTAATTTATAAATATATTTTAAATATTAGTAATTATTTTATCTATTATTAGTATATATATATATAACTAGTTATATTACTATGTAAAATAAATTAATATTTATTATAAAATTAAATTATCTATTAATTCAACTGAAAATTAATAAAATCATATATCGATTCAAAAAATTATCTATAAAGTCATCGGATACTTATCTATCAACATATAAAAAGTTAAATAATTTACCTAACATAGCAACTTAATTTCTGCCTAAAATTTGCGTTTTTATACATTGAACTATTGAAGATATTTCTCGACAAAAAATTGAATATTCTGCTTTGACTGATATATTTATGGGACGATTGTTTATAAATTGTATATAAAAAAAATCAATCAAAACTCAAATTTAACTAACTTTAACTCAACTCCACTATCTTCAATATTATCAATATAATTAAATAATATCAACTAATCATTCTTACACATCACAACAACTCTAATTTACTTAACTAACTAGCCCTTTCAATTATTTTCTCATACTTTTACATCAAATCAACTTTAATTATTTTATTTTAAATATTATTTTAATATATCCACTAACAATTAACCATACCACATTTTCACAAACTTAAGTATAGTTAAAAAAATTAATTTTTTATTAATTGAATTCATATCCAATCACCCTAAGTTTTGAAGTTTAATTAATTAAATCACTCACATGTCATGGAAATATCTGTCTGTTTTGGTAGTTAATAAGATAGGTTTAATTTCATTATCTCATGATGCAATGTTTGAACAATTTAGTCAACAGTTAGCTCGTAGTGGAGCCAATATTCTATATAAAACAAGTAAACCAATTATATGGTTCACTTGTTGTATAATATGATTTACTTGTTGTATATAGAAGGTTGATTTCATAGCAAAATTGATGTTGAAAATCTAGATTTTTATTTATTGCCAGAATGTTTTAATAATTAAATTACTTAACATCATTTGTTTTTCCTTTTATGTGAAAAATATTTAATGCTTATTCTTTTATATATTTTTTTCTATCAATATTTCAATAATATCGTTATCTAAAAGTTTAAATCTATTATAAAACATTTTTAAAATTTTTTAAAAACTCTCAAATTAAGTATTTTTAAAATTAAAAATTCTCTCTTTGAGAGCGGTAGATTCTCTCTTTGAGAGCGGTAGATTTCCGGTTTCCGGCCATCGTTTCTGTTTCCTTTCTTGTTCTTATTGATTTCTCAGTTTACTCGATAGCATACGGTGATTCTCCGTCATCCGTTTTCTCTTTTCAGTTTTTTCCCCAAATTGGGGCTTTCTAGGATTTCTATGGATCATCGAGAACAATCATCGGGAGATGATGATCTTTCTGAACGTCTCAAGATCTTCTCTTTATCAGAAAAGGAATAAGTAGTATTTGACATTGCTCAAGAGGACATCAAAGCTAGTGACGACGAATGTCATAGAAGTCTCTTTGGCAAGGTAATAGGTGACAGACCAGCAAGTTGGATTGGTATTAGAAGAGCCATGGCCCATATCTGGAAGCTAAGCCAACCAATGGAGGTTAAAGAGCTCAGCCCTAACTACTTTTAGTTCATTTTTCAGAATCGGGACGACATGAAGAAAGTAGCAATTGGTACCAACTGGAGCTTCGAAAACCAGTATATAATCCTTAAAGAATGGATGACCAACATTAACAGTAAGCACCCTTGTTTCAAAGAGCTCAATCTTTGGGTCCAGGTTCAGCATATTCCACTCAATTGGCTTAGTACTGAAGTTGGCCTCAAAATCGGCAAGGCCTTCAAGACTCTCCAGAATGTGGTCATAGCCAATACTGGTAATCATGGGGGTAAGATATTAAGAAAAAAGTGGTGGGACAAATTTCTGCATGATTATAGCATCAAAACATATCCAAAACATCAATATTTTAATGCATTAAAAACATATTTTCAGCAACAGAAAAGTCATATTAAACGGAAATTAGCAAAGTCAAAGAATGAGAATTGACAAGGCATTGTATGTAATGGCAGATTGTTGCATAATATAGAAATATCAATCATAATTAATAATCAACAAAAAAAAGTCAAATCTATATGAAAAAATCAAAATTAAAAACACAGCAAATTATGTGGAACATTATTGAACACTATACAATATAGAAAGAAAAATAATTTGAATTCCCTATCATTATCAACACATTCAACTTTTACCAAGACATCTGCCTTTATATTAAAATCGATTTTTTTGCGTAAAAGTTTTAAAAATAAAAATTCCTACAGATTCTTTAAACATTAAACAAGAAAATTCCTAATATGTGATAAATATATCTAAATAGATTTGTTATAAACTTACCTAATATTTCCAAATTTTGAACAAAATACTAAAAATTTGGAAAAACTTCGGCAAAAGACTTTGAACAACTTCGAAAAGCGAGTTTGAACAAGTGTTAGCAAAGCTTCACTTACTGATATGATGAGAAAGACGACAAAGAATTGAACTATTTAGTTTTCAAAATCTGAACAAAATACATAAAAGTTACATATGTATGTTATAAACAGATATGAACAGATATGTTATAAACTTACCTATATATTTGTTAGTAGAGCTGAACAGATCTGTTAGAAACTTACATATTTTTTTAAACCCTAAACAAAATACATAAAAGTTTGAAAAAGTTCGACCAATGTCATGTTCTTTTCGAAAAACGATTTTGAAAAACATCTAAATAATTTCGAATTATGTATGAAATATGATATATCTTGAAGCTTATTCACAAAAAATTTCGAAAAACAACACAGATCATTGAAAATAATAAAAAATAAAAACTACGTTTAACAAAAAATATTTTAGCTCATCATAGATTTGTAATATTATCGCCCAATTTTGACCGACCTGTTAAGATTTAGCAACACAGATTAAGAAATCGGGACGAATATTTTATTTTTCGATCACCTACTGTTGGTCACAAAACCAACATTTCTCGGATGTCTTTTTTTTTTTTTAATTTTTTAAGCCTTTACCGGGAGAAAATCTCCGGTAAAACAGTTGTTTTGTATTGAATCTCACCGAGTTTGTCGTAAGATAGGGTTAAGGATTAGGGTTTCAGACAGAGTGAATAACGAGAGAAGCGCTGACATCGAAAAAAAAAATGGCTTACATCACTCTCAAGGAGTTTATCTCTATTTATAGTCATGTTATCATTGACCTGTTTTATATTTGATTTTTGCTACCCTAAAAAATTAAGTGGACTTCTAATTTGGGGTTTTTTTATCATTCAATTAATATATTTCTTTATGGCCCAAAAATTGCCATTTTGTTCAAATGTCTTAAATATTTGGCACATATCATTATTTATCAACCAAATACAATTATTTATTTTGTAATATTTTGCTGGTATTTTTTTAGTATTTTTTTTTTTAAATTTCTTATATGATCTATAGTACAAAATACAATAATTATTTAAACAATTAAAACCATTATATGTCTTAATTTGAAGATATGATTTGTAGTGATGGAAATTCTGTTGATAGAAAAACCACAAACGTTTTAAATTTCCAATGATTATATTATAATTTTTACTATTGTTTATATATTTTTATTATTTTTTGTTCTATTATATTGTTTTCCGTGCAAATGCACGGGTTAAAAACTAGTAAAATTCGAAGCCAAGTAGTTTGAAATAAATTTCAATGATGAAGAGGTAAATAATTTGTTTTTTGTCATTTTTAATTTATTATTATCCAATCTATATGCTGAAATTATTTAAATTATAAGTTTGTGGTGACGATGACGCGTCACCAAATCAAACCAAAACTTTGTTTACAAGGAAGTATTTAATAATTTAGGAATTTTTTAATTTGTCCGACATGTTTTCATTTGTTACATATACACCAAGTCTATTAAATTTAATATTCAATATTGAAAAAAAAATTAGAGAAATATATCATCTCGTCCATCGCACTAGTTTGAAGTGGGATTTCGTACCAGGATTTTTCTTTAGAAATCTCATCAAATCTTAAAAAGTCTTAACAAAATTTAGTTTCAAATAAGTTAAATGTCTCATGATTTTGTAAGATTTTTTAAAATCTCAATAGAATACCTACTTTTAAAAATCTTAACAAATCTCAATTGAATACACCAGGATTTCTAAGTCTTTAGAAATATCAATTGAATTAGATTAATGGGGGTGTATTCAATTAAATTAAATCCTAATTTTAGATATCCACTCAATCAGCCTATATCAACTTACGGAGCCCATGAACTCTACTTTATTTAAATCATTTAATTGAGTTCATTAATTAAATTGAATAGTTAATATAATTGTATATAATTTATTGTCCATAATTAAATTATACATGGAAAATTAAATATTTCCTATCATACGCATCTTGCACAACAAGTAGTTTGCCAAATTTTCATGTTCCTCTTATCAGATTTACACAAACTAAGATGCCACATTTATTCATTTTTTCCCCCCTTCTGTGTCGTGATCAACATTATCACGACCAAAAAGCATTATAGATTTTTTAACAAATCAAAAACATCAGATAAAAAATTACTCAGCTGATTAAAAAAGCTTAAAATCAAAATAAACCTGATTATCAGCTGGATTAAATGAAGTTACCACCGGCCCATTCTCTTGCCAAACCCCATTAACATAGCACCCAAACACACTCAGAATTTCATATTGGCTCTTCGCCACCTGGAGTGTAATAAGTTGAATTTACCGAAAGAAATGTCAAATATTTCATTATATGGAAAATATCATTTAGCATCACATGTAAAGCATGTGATTTATTCTCAGACAAGTGAAAGTAAAAACTGTAAAATAGAAAAAAGAGATATTGTTGGGTTGAAAAAGTGAATGGTTTGCAGTCCTTATTACAAAAGCTAAGTAGATGAAAATAGAATTATTCCATGAGCAGAAATATTGGTTATATGACATTATTGGTCAAGATGGGCTGCTCACTACCTGGTCCCAACTGGAAATTGACGTTGTACCTAATCTATCATTTACCTTTCATCTGAGGATCTTCTTCTTCTCCTTCACAAGCCTTTGAGAAAAACCTTCATACTGTCACCTCTCATCATACACTTTTCCTAACTATAGCTATTTTTCTTCCTACTGTCACCTCTCATCATACACTTTTCCTAACTATAGCTGATTGGATTTCATTTCACCAACAGGGGGGACCCATGGCAGCTTATGCAGCTCTGCTTTCTCTTACCAAAACCATAGACCAAATCCAAAATCACCCCCGCCCACCCATCTCCCTCGACAAACCACAAATCGAACCTCTGATAGAAAAGGTTGTTTTCTTGCAAGATTTTCTTGAAAATTATATCATTGATGATGCAGATGGGTTGGAGGGCCGTATGATTGATGCGGCTCACGAGGCAGAGGATATCATTGAGTCTCATATTGCCGATCATTTTGAGGCTCTTGCTAAGGCTAACATCACTTCGAAAAACGGCTCTTTGTATCGATACCTACAGAAAAAGATAAGAAAAATGACCCTTTGTATCAATAACAACAAGAGTTTGAACAAAGACGACTCGCATCAAAACCTACAGAAAGTGATGCACGACTCCAATTCCACCACAAAAGACGACTTGTTGTATCGAAACCTACAGAAAGTGATGCACGACTTGAATTCCATCACAAAAGACGTGGGTGCTGTTAAAGAGAAGGCGAGGAAAAAAATTGCTCCTTCTTGCACAGAGGATGATGCCATGGTGGGTTCTGATGATGTCATGGACGACATCATGGATAAGCTGAAAGGTCCTTCTTCAGAGGGGAACAACAGTGTCATGAACGACATCATGGATAAGCTGACCAATCAACAATCCAATCGTAGGATAATCGCGCTTGCCGGCATGGGCGGCATTGGTAAGACCACTCTTGCAAAAAGAATTTATGAAAATCGAGTTACTGTGGAATACTTTGATATTCGTGGATGGGCTACAGTCTCTCAAGAATTTGATTCGAAAAAGATTTTGTTACAAGTCCTTGACTGTTTGAAAAAAACCATGGGGAGTGAGGACAGCGAATATGAAGAATTAGGACAAAAACTGTATCAAAGCTTATACGGCCGACGGTATCTGATTGTGATGGATGACATTTGGGGTACGGACGCGTGGGATGGGGTGAAGCGCTTCTTTCCCAATAACAACGACGGGAGCAAAGTGTTGATAACCACTAGGCTATCGAATGTGGCTTTGCAGCTGGATGGCCCAGATTACATTCAGATGAGGTTTCTGGAGATGGACGAAAGTTGGAATCTCCTGCGTAGGTGTGTGTTTCAGGAACAAGGGTGTCCGCCGGAATTGGAAGAGATTGGGAAGGAGATTGCCAGGAACTGTAGAGGCCTTCCATTGTCAATTGTCGTGATCGGGGGACTCCTAGCAAAGTCTGAACAGAAACGTGAAAACTGGAAACACGTTTTAGAAAATTTAAGCTCGATCGTGAATTTAGAGGAAGACGAGAGTTGCTTTAGAATACTAAAGTTGAGCTACAATCAACTGCCAGTCCATCTGAAGCCGTGTTTTCTGTACATGGGCATGTTCCCGGAGGACCATGAGATTCGCGTCCCCACACTCCTTAAACTATGGGTTGCTGAAGGATTTGTGAAACCAGTGGCCGGTCAAAGTCAGGAAAAAGTTGCCAGAGTATTGTACCTAAATGAACTCGTCCTCAGAAATCTAATCTTGGTTCGTAAGTGGGGCAGTACTCGAAACATAAAACGGTGCGCCATCCACGATCTCCTGAGGGACCTCTGCATAAAAGAAGCCGAGAAATACAAATTCTTTCGCACCATGGAAACAATAACGCACAACTCTGAACACGACCAAAGTTGGCGTGGCCAACGCCGTATCGGCATTCAGCAAGCCGAATGGTATTACATTCCCCCTCCACTCCCCGAAGCAGTGGAATCCGCATCACGCGCGCGAACTCTGATATGGAACGTTGAGGAAGCTTTACCATCTCTAGTTCCTTTCAGATTTCTTAGGGTTCTGAATGCATCATTCGATATAACTTTTTTTAATTACGAGGCGTGCACACATCTGGTTGGAGAAGTATTTCATCTTGTGAACTTGCGCCACCTGGTTGCCACAGCTCAACTGCCAGCGCATGGATTTCCTCCACCATTTTACCGACTCTGGAATTTACAGACATTGATATTTGATTGGATTGTGATAAGCTATGAGGAGCTGGCGGTGCTGGACATCTGGCGGATGCCCCAACTCAGGCACGTCAAGGTACGCGATATCAAGCTCACGGATCCTCCTTCAGAAGAAGAAAATGGTGGTGATCAGATGGTGTTGGAGAATCTAGAGACGCTGCAGAACGTATGGAACTTGAATTTGGGTGAAAATGTGATTGGGAGAATCCCCAATATCAAGAAGCTTGGAATAAATTACGATGAGGAATCATCACCCGCTGATTATGTTCTCGACAATCTCTGTAGACTACGCAAGCTGGAGTGCCTTTCAATTTCATGCAATTCATCACTCTCTCGACGAATTGAGGTGACGTCGTTCCCGATTACGCTCAGGAAGCTGACTCTGGAAGGCATGCGGCTGGGGTGGGAGAAGATGGGGACAAAGATAGGGTCGTTGCCATATCTCGAGGTCCTCAAGCTAAATAATAACGCGTTCGTGGGGCCCGAGTGGGAAACGGCCGAGGGTGGATTCCCGAGCCTGAAATACTTGCAAATCGACAGCTGCAGCAGTCTGGAACAGTGGAGGGCAGACGCCACGCACTTCCCCAGCCTCGAGCGGCTCGGCCTGTGGTATCTAGATAAGCTGAATGAGATTCCATTGGAAATTGGGGATATAAGCACGCTTAGGGAGATCTACTTGGATGGTTGTTCCGACTCAGCCGTGCTTTCTGCAAAGAAGATTTTAGAGGAACAAGAGGAATGCCTTGGGGAAGTGGAACTTCAGATTAGAGTTGGGCTATGCTATCAGACCCAACTACGAAAACAGAGCTTGAGTCGTCGGAACTTATTTGAATTAGTCTTTTAAAATTGGTCGGCAACTTGTACAATAAAAAAGGGTGGAGAATCTATTCTGATTGGTTTGGAGTTTATTAAATAGGCTCATAGTTTGATTTGTCTGTGTGCATAATGTGGAAAATATAAATATTTTTTAATTAGTCCTATTTACAAATCTGGTGTCATATATACAAATCTGGCACTGGTTGTGAATAACTTGATAAAAACAAACATGCCTCGACACAGTTGCCAATTTGCTTCATTCTGCTAAATTTGATTGTTTTTCATAGTTACTATCCCAAGTTCATTTCCTGAGCAACAGAAACTTCACTTCCATAATGATTGTGCTGCATAAATATAATGAACCGTGTCAAACTCACAAACCAAATTGAAACAACCATTTAAAAGAATAGAAATGTTTAACTTGTCAGGCTAATCACAAAATCTATCCTTAGAGGTTCGGCCTACCTACAAGTAAAACCGAATAATATTCAACATTAAAAATTTACTAGTTTTGCAATTGACAAAGAAAAAAAGATCAATTGAGTTCATTTACCAACAATCGAATTATGTATTAAGGTATCAAAGTTGGTGAGGTAGTACTTATAAGAGAGTTTTACTTGATAGATTGGGCATATATATTACTTGATTGAATATACTTTACTATGTATTACATGATTGAATATTTTAGATTGGTTAAATTATGATGCCTTTTTAGGTATGCATGTTTTCAATTATGGTGTTCACTTATAAGGCTTTTATATCATTCGATAGATGCACTGCACTTGTTGTTGTTATGTCGGAATAACAGGTTAACCAGATTGATACTTTCTACTTGTGTATATGAATCAGAGATTCAGATTGAATATCTGATACTAATTTTAACTTATGAACTCTGTATATGCAAACAGAAAAATGGATTATATGTGCCTCTAATCCACCAGGTAAGTCATCTCTGTATATGCAAACATTGTTCTTTGTCCTAGTCAACATTGTTTCTAGCAAACTAGATATTCTTGACGACCCTCCCAAACCGGAGTTGTACTTTTAATCTTCACAGCTCCCAAATTTGGGTCGAAAAAATATTCGAATTTCTGAACAGTATTTTAGCATGATTCTTAATGCTTGCGGTTCTTATTCTTTGAACCTTTTTTAATCGAGGCAATATTTCAATAATATGAACCTCTTCTCATTCTCAAAGGATGATGTAAATATTGAGTCCTAGAATAGAATGCATGGAAAATTTCTTCTTTGGCATATCATATGTTGTGCCATTGGTCTGTACTATTTGGCAACTAAATCAGCAAATAAATTGAGCAGTGAAAGCACTCAAGTCAAAGTGTAGCTCAAGGCTCGAGCATGAGTCGAGCTCAAACTCATGCCTGTATGTTATAAGCATGAGTGCTTGACAAACTGCTCGAGTACAAATGTAATTTACCGAAAAATACCCAACTCTAACTAAACTGTAACCAAACTTGAGAAAAAAAGTAATTTTTTACTTGAATAGAAATTTATTTTATTGACAATTTGACCCAAACTCGAGCCGATGAAATTCGAGTTGGTCAAGAGTATTTGTATTATTTTGTCGAGCTGAGCTCATCGACAACAATGAAAACACTCTAACTCGGCTCGATAACGTTAATGCTCGACTCAACTCAGCTTGAGCCCTATTGGTAACCTAGCATAAAAAGGTTCATAGTATACCTTCAATAAACATAATGTCAATTAAGCAATGGGCAAACAAGCCACAAAATTCCATTAAGGAACAACTTGAAAGCTAACTTTTGCAAAGTGGATGGTGGTTCTCCATTTAGCCACAAGCAACCATCGAAACACACAAAAAATACCAAATTTTTAGTTCTCCATTCGGTCACGAACAAACACAGAATAATATCAAAATTTTCATCTACCAAATTTCTCAAGATCTTTGCAACCACATAACCAGTACATATATTTGTGGCATCAAAAAATTTCTCGGGTGCTTCTTTAAACACCAGCTTGCCTGAAAATGTTTTAAAACCAAATTAACAGCCGATCAGACCATAGAGATAAACTGTCATGCAGGGTCGGGACTTACAAATTTTCATATGGCACCAAACAGGAAAGTTACAGCTACTAGCACTGTGAGTATGTATCTGGGCACCTCAGATATTTATCAAAACAATAGTCTCGTACATCATATTGTTCACATAGTACGAGGGAAGACAACTTAATACCATCAGCAATTCCTAACAATCAATTGATTGGGGATTAAATACAAATAAAATTTGATTAATTACTCTTTATCTTTGTTGTAGCACTTAAACCAGAAACCTAAAGGAAAAATCTCACCTTTTCCACTACCTAGATAACTAGATAATACACCAGATAGATGGTAAAAAAAATCAGAGACTCTTAGAAATAAAAATCCCAATTATCAATTCTATTCATCGGTTTTACTTCTGTTATGAAACTGTAAGTTACTATCTTTCCAAAACCCTCAAATCCTAAGCACACAAATTCGAACATCTCCATCTTCTAAGCTAACAGACAATCACTACATATAAGTAGCATTCTCCAAAAACCCGTTTTGGCCTAACTCAACTGCTACTCACAAAGACTCCCCCATAACATTATCAACAAACAGTCTCCTCGTCACAGTAACTATGCATATAAATGCTAAGGAAAGGTGGTAAGACATTAAGTCTCCATGAAAGTAAACACCCTAGATTCAAGGGAACTGAAAGTAAAGAGCTCAACTGGAAGAGACAGGGGGCCTGCAAGTCAACCTTTTTGGCAATAATTATGCAGCCATGAATAATTCGTAAAAACAACGTCATGAACAAAAACATTAATGCCAAGAGCAATGTTCTCCAGGAATTTTATATAGAAACCCAACTTCCACAAACTGCATAAATTACATTCACTGAGATAACAATGTAAAAGTATCATCGCTTGACGACTAGCACTATTTACGACCAATAGAAATGCAAGATCAAATCATGCAGCATATTCATACTGAATTTGTAGTACCATTAAAACTAAATTAATATATCAAAATTGCACCTTTGATAGAACCATGAAATTAATTGACCGACAGACCACACATAACCCAGCAAGATCAAAACTTTAAAATCCCCAACAGAAGAAAAGAAAAGAAAATTTAACCACTCAAATCGGTACATATCGCTTCAAAGCTTGTTTTCCGGTGACGGCGATCCCCACGAGGACGCCTCCGATTGCCCCAGCCACGGCGGCCGACCTAGGCCCAGCCGCCGCCTTGTAGAGAGCCCCAGTAGCCAACCCCGCGACCACGCTGTTGACGACGTCGTCCGTGTCTCTAACCGCAACCATGCCGCTCTCGAGCCCGGCGTACATCAGCCCGATAACGCCGCACCTGTTTCCGATCTGCCTTCCCGCGAGACCTGACCCGTTGAGGATCCGGTTGACCTTCAATTTCGTTGTGTCGGTAGGCTCGATCGCCCTAACCCCGGTGGCGAATCCCTTGGCGGCGCCGACGGTGGCCCCGGCGAGGTAGCCGATGCCCGTGTAGTAGGTGAGATTCTCCCCCCATGAGCGGCGTTGGGCGACGGATTCCTCCTGGAATAGAAACTCCGGCGAGGTGGGAAGATTGTAGAGAGTCTGCGTCGGGAGGTGCAGATCTTGGTAAGGGTTGTAAAGTCGGCGATTTGAGCTTCTCTCGTCGGCGGTGTTGCCCTGATTCGGCGATTGAGGTTGGTAGGCCATGGCGAATTTCAGGTCAAGGCGGCGCTTGGTGGTTGCCTACAGAGAGAGGAGAGAGAGAAAGAGAAACTAAACGTTTTCTAGGTTAAATTGCAGCTGCAGGCATAGCTGACTGCTGGTTTTTCGCTGTTCATAACGTTTTTATAAGGCCGAACGACGTCGTTCTAGTGGAATGTCACGATTACTTGCTTTCGAGGCTACTGCTGATTGGTCCTCAACTTTCTGAATCTTTGCAAATTGACCCCGGAAATTTCATTTTTTCCCGAAGTAGTATATTACATATATCTGTTTATAATAAAACGAGACGTTCATGAGACAATATAAACGAACTTAGCTCAAACTCGTTTAAAGTTAAGCTAATTAGTGAGTTTACTCGAAAGGAATAATTTATATATATACATATATAATTTTATATAGCTTTACTTTAAGACACGATTTTGACTCGTAAAAGTTTGAACTTTACTCTTTCATATTGATAAACGACTTGAGTTTGAGATAACGAATCGAGTTTGCCTCACCTCGTTAAATGCTCAAGCTCTAACTTAAGTTCAACTCAACTCGTTTACACTAATAATTGAACATTAAAAAGGTTTGTGCGGATAATTAACATTTTGGGGGTAAATCATAGGTTTAATAAAATGTTAGGCACGAACTTCTAAATATTTTTGTTTGGAATAATTTTTTGGACCAATTTTTTTTACTCTAAATCTCAAAACAAAGATTTTTCGGAATAGAAAATTGAAATTTTAGGAAGTTTATATATCAAACATGTAATAATTTGTCAAACAATTCTGCATAATTAGCTATCGAACTAGATGGTCAAAACTTCTAGTTAAACCATCCGCAATCAGTTGATTCAATCATCACTCAACTGCTCAAAGTATCAAACAATAAATAGAGCTGATTGATGACCAACATTTTGGGCCCAAATTTAGAAGTTTGAAAGTAAATTAGGGGTTTGATTCGTCAAAACTTCAAATTTTACCATTTGTTAAATAGTGAATTAAAAATATTTTTTCGAATCTAAAAAATTAATATTGAAAATGCTCATAACTTTTTTTTTAATAAAAGATTGCAACTTTAGATATTGTTACATAAAAAAAAAATAATTATTAATCAATTATTTTTTTATATCAGCCTATACGATTCACTCGTTGAAATTGAAATTGTTGATTTTAAACCGCTAATTAAAACATATATTCGGGAACCAAAATTTTTTTTCAAAATATTTTCTTTTTAAGGTTTTAAGAGCATTAATTATGTTATATTTTTTATTTTAGACGTGATTTATATGGCATATATTTTTTTTCTCAATCTTTATTTGTTCCTCATCTTTCTTTTAAAATTATATAAAAAAAAATCACTAACTTAAATTATAAGTATATTTAAAATTTAATAATTTTTTTTATTATCATTTTTTTTTTATGCATAGTGTATTAAAATAATCATTTCTTGACGAACTTCGATTCTACACCTTTATTGTACGTACATACTAAATAAATAACTATATTTATCATTAGAATAAAAACTAAATTATCTATTAACATCAATTATATAAATATTTAAAATAATTTAACTATAAATTGTTAAATGATATAATTTTAAAAAATATCTAAGACAAAAGTCGTAGAAGTGATGATTGTTATTTTAAATATAAATAGTAATATAGTTATTCAAAAGAACATTCAAAAATTAGACTAGCCGCAAATTCATTATAAATAGGAATTAGGAGAAACCTTAAAGCACAAATTGGTTATTGCAGACCCAAAAAAAAAAAAGCCAAAACTTTTCACCGTGTCTGTTCTTCAACTCCACGGCGCAGATCCGAGGAGTTTTTCAGCAAATTAATCAATCTCGTAGCAAGCGTTCTCTCTTTTCAATCTCCAGGGTTTGATCAGAATTCACTCTTTCGGTTTTTGCACCTTAATTTGTAGATTTGCATTGTTGAGTTCATGTGTGGACAGTCTGATTTTGATCGGTGCTTATACGTTGCTGTAATGTGAAAGCTGATGCGGTCAATTTGATGTGTATGTTTGTGCTCGAGAATATTTGTTAGATTCTTATTTGTATGGAAGGATCTTGAAATCAGGTGTTTTTTTATGTTTCTTATTCTGTTGTCCTCGAGGATTATGTTAATGGCATTGCGATAAATTTGGTGATAATGATGTCTACGATAGGTATAGACTGTGATCTTGTAGAGTTAGAGTTGTTGAGAGCGTTGTGTGAAGTCTCTTTAGCTTTTTAGGTCAAAAGATATTTTTTTTTTCTTTATATGTGTATCTTTTTTGATTGAGAGATCTTTTTTTTGGTTTATAATTTATATTGGGTAATAGAAAAATAAGTTACTATTATGAGTAACCAATAGTCTGCGTATAAAAGCCCATTGCCTATTTTCTTATCATACCTGAACATTAAACATAAGTTTCATGCATGTCCTCCAAATAGAATGGTGTTCAAGTTTGGAGCTTGTGTGACATCTTTTATCTGAAAGAAATATAAGAAATATGTTCTTGCTCCTGTGACCGGTTGCTTGATTTTTCATTACTTTATGTAGCCACTTCAATTTAAGTCGATGGATTGATTTAATTTTCTATCTCCAATTAATCTTAAAGACAAGGTCATCACTGGAGTGTTTCAGTGACGATTTTCATTATTATTAATTTATTGGATTTATATTTATAAATTTACTAATGCATCTTATGGACTGCAGCATGGCAGGTGCGGCAACAGAAGGATCACAATTTGATGCTCGTCAGTTTGACGAAAAAATGGAGTTGTAAGTTTTGGGTACCAATTTGTACTGAGGAATATTGGTTGAGATTATCAGCCTTAGCAAATGCCATTCTATTATTTTCCAAATTTTATGACATTAAATTTTCTGATGCAGGCTCCAAGTTGACGGGCAGGAGTTCTTTACTTCTTATGATGAGGTTTATGATAGTTTTGATGCTATGGGGCTGCAGGAAAATCTCCTCAGAGGCATTTATGCCTATGGTATTATGTCCCCCTGGCAAAACTACCTTCTTTTCATAATCCGCCAAAAAAAAATTAAAAAAAAATAATTTTTCAGTACCTTCCTCATTCGTTTCTAGTAATGTTTACATTTTCTTATCAAGTATAATTTTTTACGTGAAGGTTTTGAGAAGCCCTCAGCCATCCAGCAGAGGGGTATTGTTCCTTTCTGCAAGGGGCTTGATGTCATTCAGCAAGCCCAATCTGGAACTGGGAAAACTGCCACTTTCTGCTCGGGTATTCTGCAGCAGCTCGACTATGGTCTGACTCAGTGCCAGGCCTTGGTTCTTGCACCTACTCGAGAACTCGCTCAGCAGATTGAGAAGGTCATGCGGGCCCTAGGTGACTACCTTGGAGTTAAGGTTCATGCTTGTGTGGGTGGGACCAGTGTTCGTGAGGATCAGAGGATTCTTTCTGCTGGGGTCCACGTTGTTGTGGGGACACCTGGCCGAGTGTTCGACATGCTGAGGAGGCAATCACTTCGTGCCGACCACATCAAGATGTTTGTGTTGGATGAGGCCGATGAGATGCTTTCTCGTGGTTTTAAGGATCAGGTATGTTTTTCTTTTTATTTTTTTATGCCATTTTACTTTGTGAAATTTGCTGATTTGAATTTACATTTCTTGTTTTGATTGGACGACATTTGGAGATTTTTATAAGTAGTTGAAAAATTCTTGGTTTCTTGCTAACATGAATTCCCTATAAATTTCACTACTTCTGGTCCTCCATCATTCGTGATTGATTACCAATAAATAGAAATATATTCCAACTTTTTTTGAATAAAATTAATTTTGAGGTTGTCATCTCAATATCTCACACGGTGCATACTTTTAAAAACTTCCATTCTTTGAGAACTATTTCATCACTATCCTATCTTCAACTTTTTTATCAAAGATTTGTCTTGAGAAAGTCTTGTTTGGGCTTGATAAATATTATGGGATGAGGATATAAAAAAGGTATATCGTTTGTACAGACATTTTTAGTCTTACATTGCTTGATAATCCCCTTTTTCTCTCTCATCCCTAAACACGAACAGAAGTTTAATGCTTGTATGCCTTGTTTTAAATGGCTTGCGGGTTTGGCTCTTCTGGCATATCTTTTATCCTCTATAAAGAATCCTTTAGTTTTTCTCCTTAATGTCTACCTGTTTCACTAATAAAGTTACTACCTTCTTCTGCTAGATTTACGACATTTTCCAGCTGCTACCCGCCAAGGTCCAGGTTGGCGTTTTCTCTGCCACCATGCCCCCCGAGGCCTTGGAAATCACCCGCAAATTCATGAACAAGCCCGTTCGCATCCTGGTCAAACGCGACGAGTTGACCCTCGAGGGTATCAAGCAATTTTACGTCAACGTCGAGAAGGAAGAATGGAAGCTCGAAACCCTATGCGACCTTTACGAGACCCTCGCCATCACACAAAGCGTCATCTTTGTCAACACCCGACGAAAAGTTGACTGGTTGACCGACAAAATGCGTAGCCGGGACCACACGGTGTCGGCCACACATGGTGACATGGACCAGAACACGCGTGACATCATCATGCGCGAGTTTCGTTCGGGCTCGTCTAGAGTTCTCATCACCACTGATTTATTGGCTCGTGGGATTGACGTGCAGCAAGTTTCGCTCGTGATAAACTATGATCTCCCGACACAGCCAGAGAACTATCTGCACCGTATTGGGAGGAGTGGGAGGTTCGGGAGAAAAGGTGTCTCGATTAATTTCATGACTAAGGAGGATGAGAAGATGCTTCACGATATTCAGAAGTTTTACAATGTGGTGGTTGAGGAGCTTCCGTCGAATGTTGCTGACCTGCTTTGAGGCGGTGAGGATCGGGTTTTTTCTTTTTCTTGATAAATGCTAAAATGGGGCTGTTTTGGAGGTTTTTTTTTCGGAAGAAATATTTTTGTTTGCTAGGTGACTTATTTTTATTTTTTTGGTTTTTATTGTTTACTTGATTGTTGTTTTAGTTAAAATTTTGCAGAGGTTAATCTTGTCCAGGCCCTTGTGAAACTGGGAGTGTGGATTCTTGAGTGTTCATCTAGGGTGGGGCGAATTTAATACTATTGCAATTTTGGTCTATAGGTATGTAACGTATTTTGGATTTTGGCCCAAATTTTTGGTTAAATCATAATCGATTTATTGATAAATGTGTGTTTTTTCTTCCTTTTACCTTTTTCCTAATTGTATATTTTTTCTGGAATTGTTTCTGCTTCTTTCATGGTACATGGTCTAGCTATCGTCTAGATTTCTTAAATATAGAGGGTGACAATTTTCAGTTAATTTGGTACTAAATAATTTAAACTTAACTATATTTTTTTTGTTTCATGTTTTTTTTGTTGTGCTTTTTTTTTTTAAAAAAAAATATAGAGGGTCAAATTATTTGAATCCAGCCATTACTGATGTCCTTTTTATGTTACTTCATATTGTATTTGAAAAGTAGGATATTATATACAAAAAGTATATGTTTTTATTCAAAATGTAATTAACAATTTATTCAAAATGTAATTGAAAATGTGATTCAATTCATAAAATTTGATAACTGTCCATACATGATATCATACGTACATATTTATAATCTCACCAAGTTCTATCCACTTAAATTTAAAAGCCCACATAATACAAGCCCAACACAATATAAATAAACATAAACATAAATACTACAAACATACATACTAAAATAAATATAATAATATCACCCTAAAGATCGGAGCCGATCATATTTGTCGAGATATGCTAATGCAATCTCGTCGGCATCATTCTCCCCCGGGTGGAGAGGATTCGCCCTCCAATCCGCAATCTCGTCGGCGTCTTGGACGACCCCGTCGATAAAATCACCTACGTCAAAGACCATCGAGCGACCATCCTCCGAACCGGATAACTCCCTACACTGCTCGGCACGAGAAACGAATAAAACTGGAGACGACGATGGCAAAGGTCCAGAACTGGATAATGACGGATGCTGGGCTATGCAAATGCCATCAAATAAAAAACTATATGTGTTGAAGCGTCCATCATGTACCACCAAGTGATCAAATTGCCAAAGTCGCCCTAATAAAACGTGCCAAGAATCCATAGGCATGACGTCACACCATATCATGTCCTTATAAGAGGATCCGATAGAAAAGGTCACCAACAAGCGTCGAGTGACACGAACAGAATCACCATGTTGTATCCAAGGAAGAGCATACGGATCCGAATGCGGCTCACTTAACAAACCAAGTTTCGTCACGGCCTCATTCGAAATCACATTCTCGCAGGAGCCGGAATCAATGACAAAACGACACACCCGATCGCCAAATGTGCATGTGGACTCAAAAAGGTGGTGTCGCTGAACCTTATCCTCGGAAGAGATGTGGGGAAACAAAAGAGACCGACGAAGGACAAGTGCATGACCGACATCTCCCGAGACATGTACCTCGGGAACCTCCGGCTCTTTATCGAAAATTGGAGGACCATCATAAATAGTCGAGTCAGGCTCCTCAACAATCAATGCCCGTGAACCTTTTGCCTTCGGGCACTGTGCTTGGCGATGGCCCGGCTCACCACAAGTGAAACAACGCGGACCACTAGACTGCCGATTGCCACTCCCCATCGTGGGGCCAACCACGCGGCCTTCATAAGGAGCACTCAAATCGAAAGGAGCCTTCGCCGCAGACGGCGCGGTACTCGAAGACCCAAGATGCTCCTTTGTAGACGATGCAAAAGAAGTGCCCACCTTCCGGGCCTACTGCTGCTCAACCAATAAAGCCCACTGATGAGCCTCAGAAACGGAAGTCGGGGTAAAACATATTCAACATATCCTGTATAGAAACACGCAATCCCCCAATATAACAAGAAATCAACTGTTCCTGAGTTTCACGAATATCTACCCGGGCCAAGAGTTTATAAAATTCCTCAGTATAATCATCCACACTACGTTGGCCTTGACGAGATTTTGCAATTGCTGATATAAAGTACAGACAAAATTAAACGGTAAAATTCCCGTTCAAGATACTTACGAAATTTCACCCACGAAGTGATTTTTGGTTTGCCCTTACGATGCTGCACGCCCTGTAACTGTAACCACCAAGCAGCCGCACGTCCATGAAGTCGAGTGACTACAAGTGCAACTCGCCGCTCATCCGGTACACTTTTAAAATCAAGGGCCGCCTCGACGGAAGCTAACCAATCAAGAAATTCACTAACATCCAACCCCCCGGCAGAATTCGGAATTTCAACACGAAAAGAAAATTCCCAGCGACTATGAGAATCCCCTTCAGCCCCTTGCCTGCAAAAATGGGCCGTATGTCCAGGCCCACTAAAAGCAGCCGATGGCCCATAATTAGGAAAAATAAAATTGCCTCTGCCAGCAAAATTTCCAAATCGATGTCCATTACCAAAATTCCCAAAACGCTGGTCATCTCCTAAATTCGCAAATCGCCGACTTTCATCAAAAACTCCTCCCCGTAACCATTTTTCTTTTCTGATTCAATTCATAAAATTTGATAACTGTCCATACATGATATCATACGTACATACTTATAATCTCACCAAGTTCTACCCACTTAAACTTAAAAGTCCACATAATACAAGCCCAACACAATATAAATAAACATAAACATAAATACTACAAACACACATACTAAAATAAATATAATTATATCACATTAAAGATCGTAGCCGATTTTGTTTGTCGAGATATGCTAATGCAATCTCGTCGGTATTCAGTTATTCTACTATTTGTCCAATAATTAATGAATTTGTCATTTTAATTATGACATTTTAGTTGGATCAGTTCTCTAATTATGTCATTAAGAAATATCTAATGTCACACATACCTTCAGATCTCCGGATCTCGTGATCTTTCTAATATGACTAGTACAGAGCCCGTGCGATGCACGAAGTACACAATTTTAAGGCTATTTATTCAGACTTATAATTATATACATGAATAAAGAAAAATATACGGGATATATATAGTACGTGACCCGTGCGAAGCACGAGATATATTTATTTGGAGAATATTATATTATAAGATGCAATATTCAATAAAAGTTTATAAGACGCCAGAAAATTGTACAATGTTCAAATACCCGTGCGAAGCACGAAATATATTTATTTGTTTTATGATTTGATAATATAAACAAATCTATAATTAACTTTGACAAATAAAACAAATAAATACTTTAGTAAGTATTTAATGTATATACTAAATAGGAATATATTTGGTATAATCAAATACCAAATATAATCAAATGAGTCAAAGTGTACATTTTTATTTGGTATTTGATTTTTTTATTAATAAAATCTTTTTATTATACTTACTTTTTTAAAATAAAACAAATAAATAAATCAATTAAATAAATAAAATATTATAATACCAAAATAGTAATGTCATTTAATGCAGTTGACTTTTCTGGATAGTAAATGTAGTAAATAGAATCTCCTTTTATATAAGTATAGATTGTATAATACGAAAATAGTAATGCAATAAATGTTGTTGACTTTTTTTTATAATGCAATAAATGTTGTTGATTTTTCGCGCGCATTACATTAAGGCAAGCAGTACCGAAGAGTTTTATACTAAATCTGGTAAATTGTATATCTTTTAATATAAGTATAGATGTGATAATTTTGAAAGTTCCATGCACCTCCATCAAACCTTCAATGGCACACACATGAAGAAATTCAAGCACAACAATGGAGAAGTGATTCCCACCAACCTTCTTCATTCACATAAATTGTCAACGATGGTGTGCTCAATCTTGCCTATAAATAGGCTTGTTATTTCATTCATTCAAATCATCCAAGAGTGTGATCAATCAACCTTAAGAGTGTTGAAACACAACCAAGAAGAGTTGTGGTAGATTTTAAGAGTGTTTTGTTTAGAGTTTGTAAATCTCTTGTTTTTATTCTTGTGAGTAATTGAAACTTATTTTTCTCTCAATTATGTTTATGATCTTGGGATGATACCACAACAAATTTATTGCCACATATTTAGACGGTAATAATAAAACGTGCCACACAAAAAGGATGAAATATATCCATAACTCAAAAGTCGTTTGAGTTCATTGTCTTAGATTACTTTCATGAGTTTCAACTTTCACCCTATAATTTATAGTTCACAAGTAAACATATAGTCTAATCACAACGAAAATATTTCACAATTTATACCAAATAAAACGTGCCACACAAAAAGGATGAAATATATCCATAACTCAAAAGTCGTTTGAGTTCATTGTCTTAGATTACTTTCATGAGTTTCAACTTTCACCCTATAATTTATAGTTCACAAGTAAACATATAGTCTAATCACAACGAAAATGTTTCACAATTTATACCAAATAAAACGTGCCACACAAAAAGGATGAAATATATCCATAACTCAAAAGTCGTTTGAGTTCATTGTCCTAAAGATTACTTTCATGAGTTTCAACTTTCACCCTATAATTTTTAGTTCACAAGTAAACATATGGTCTAATCACAACGAAAATGTTTCACAATTTATACCGCAAGAGCCTTTTTCCTCAAACCCTAACGAAATTAAAATCAAATAAGATCACATATATGTGAAGCAAATTTTATATCCATTTTAGTGTGTTTCAAATAAACACAACGCTCAGAAAACGAGTCCACTCTCGAGCTCAAACCTGCTATTTTTTTTCAAGAAGCCTATACCATACATAAATGTTTTACATGTACAGTAGCCTCACAATGCTTCAGCTTAACAAAGAATCAAAAGAATAATAAAAACAAAATGTCACCTCAAGTTGAAACTCACCATTATATATATACTTCAGCAAACAAGAATGAATCAAAAATGTCACCCAAACTCTACACAGATACCATTCAATATCTTTATATTTGTTGTGCAACAGTATGGCAACTAATCACCGAATATTTCTTCTGAAGCCTCTCTCTCAACTGCCTGATTTTCGCGTCCACCCTTGCCGTGAACCCGATCTTCGTATTCTCCCGAGCCTTCGACCTCTCGTGTCTCCACATTTGCCCGTCTTCAATATCCTTCTTATAATACTTAATCTCCTGAATCACGTGATGGTCGAGCGGGTTAAACGACCTCTGGAAAGCAATGTGCACAAAATACGGCAAGTTGCACAACACAGTCACAAGTAGAGTGGCCGACCAGTAAATAGGTGCCGGAGCTAAAACCTCCCAGAGAACCCTAAAGGCATTGACCTGAAGAGCATACGAGAGCTCGCCATAGACAAGGAGGAAGAAATACCAGGTGACGACACTTCCCCAGACGAGAATATGTTGTATCCAGGTGAAGTGGGACATGGTAAGGGCAATCTGGGAATTTACGGCCCAGATGACACATGTCATCATGGCAGTCCCCACGGCAATCATGTCGGCCGTTTGGCCACCGGCTCGGAAAGCTTGGTCGTAATAGATTATGATGTTGAGGAAGAAGATGATGAGGGATGTGTAGAGGCCATTGGCCATCCACCCGAATATCCTCTGCCAGTCGAAGAAGAGGTTCTTCGGGCCTTGCTGGTAAAGGGCCGGGAACTGCATCGTGAGAAGTTTGCGGGTTAATACGGGCCAAAATTGAATATGATGAAATATTCGCGTGTAAAACTAGCTGATAAGCTAATTGATAGATATCTGATAAGCTAGCTGATAGCTTATAAGTGATTTTCGAACTTATAACTTATGACTTATAGATGAAAAGATAGCTTATATGATAAAAGTGTTCGGTAAAATTAGCTGAAATAAAAATTAGCTTATTTGAAAGGCTACACAGAGAAGCTTATGAGATAAGCTCGATCTATTTAAGAAAGCTTGTCCTACCAAACGAAGTTTGTTTGAACACAGGAAGCTTGTAAGCTAACCAGATAAGCTAAGCTATAAGTATAGCTTATAGCTTGTAGCTTATTTAGTTACCAAACATAGCTTTGGTAACTTTTAATGAGAAATGGGGGTGGACATGTAAAATAGGTAAGAGTAAGTTTTGTACTCGATTCATCCGTATGCATATTTCAAGTGTTTATATGTGGCAATAGTCGATTCTAGTAAATCAGGTAGATAGTGCTTGTATCTTTTATATCTGCTCATGTTAAGCAACTTATAACCTGTTACTTTAGTCAACTTTGTCGAAGGACTTTTTGGTTAATTGGAAACTGTAACTTTGGTTTGAAAGGTTAAAAATAACTAACCTGCAAGCATACTTCAGAATCGACATCCTGTTCAAAGACTCCAAGAGAAATGACCGGCAATGACGTGAGAACAACATTGAACAGCAGCATGTACCAGTCATCATACACCGACTGCCCAGAAAAACCAGCAAATGCCTCGAAATAGAAGATTGTCAGTCCAAATGCAATGTTCTTGTAGAAGAAATAACAAATCTGCAATAGAGAAAATTGCAGTTCAGTTTAGAACCAACCAAAAATAGCATAAATGTGGGTGCATGCATCCATGTTCAGAGTGAACATGTATGGAATTATTACAGAATAGCCAAAGAAATATTTGCTACTTCCAGTATAGACTAAAAAGCTTCTGATAGAGAACTTCAAAAAATCAACTTGTAAAGATTACCATCTGAGCAATTCTTTTGTAACACCAGTGTCCATGTACGACCAGAAGCCTCTCCAGAAATCTAAATTGTGCAATCGCAAAGTCACTTGCCATCACAGCCTGCCAACGAGTATAATTGAATTATAACACATATTGAAGACAAATGATCTAACTTAAGCATCATGGACTAATGGATTGTACCACGATGACACCTTCAATATAAAAATAAATAAATAAATAATATCAAACCACAGGTCTTGACTTTTCGAAGTTCAGAACAAAGTAGGAATTTTTAAGTATGCTTATTTTGGCATCCAGAAACAAAAAACGTCCATAAATTGGTATTGGACATTGAACTGAATTTAATGATTGTTGAACACCCTTGTGGAGTAATCTTGACAAGATTCTTTCACCGTTTCAGTCACGCCCAAATTAGTTTTGACAATTATACATACATAAAGTGAGACAAATTCATCACTAAAACCTGCATTCCTTCACATCCGCTGATGCCAACACCAATGTCTGCCTCCTGAATCATACCAACATCATTCGCACCATCGCCAATTGCTAACGTGATTTTTCCCGTTCCTTCTTTTACTAATCTCGTAACCTGATTGGCAAATAACTCAAGAGTGAGATAGAGGTAACGATAACTGAAAATCACATGAGAGTACCCTGATAGTCGAGTATGAGAAAATAAAAGGAATTTGCTGAGTGAAATCATTGGAATATCTTACCAGGGCTTTTTGCTTGGGTGAAACTCGGCAGCAAATGACAGACGCACAATGAACAGCTAAATTTAAGAAGTGATGCTTCATGTCATCCTCCAGTGCATGAGTCAAAGTTTTGCCATCAATGATTAATGCAAACGCAGCATGTGGATCCTTTTCCACCGTGATCATTTCAGTTGCATTGGTAATTTGCAGTAAGATATCCTCCTTTGCGGCTTTCTACTGACAACCAAAAAACGAAGGTTACCATTAAATCAACTGAACTGTGTCACATATTATTCAAAGTCCTTTCATAAACAGTACCTGTTGGATTGGTGTCTCTGCGTACGTTGTTATGCATATTTGTTTCATGCCCTGCCGAAGCAAACTACAAGCGAATCTGCATCGTGATTGCAAGACTTCAGTTGGAGACTTAGAAAGCTTGATAGTCTCACTGTAAAAGAATCTTATGAAAAATATCCTTATTCTGATGGTGAGAAACTGACCCTATATTAATTGCAGTCTCCATCTTATCACCTGTCAGAACCCAGATCTTTAGACCAGCTTGTGCTAGTTTGTCAATGCACTGAGGTACCTATGCAGAATAACAACGGATAATAAGAGTAAGCAGAGAAATAAATCAAACACACACAACGCCCACAACATGAGAACATAACTAAAACATAAAGAGACACAAAGACATACAAAACAATTCGAATCAATAGGTTATACAAATTACGACATACTCCTTTCTGTAATTTGTCTTCCACAGCAGTGGCACCAACCAGTATCAACTCCCTTTCCATTTTATCAGAAATCCGCTCAAGATTTGCCTCCCTGTTGCTGCCAAATGTGGTTTTTGCGCTGGTAAACTCTTCATTCCATGAGGAATACTCTGCCTCATCGAGTTTCTTGTAAGCAAGTGCGAGAGTTCGTAACCCAGCCTCTCCATATTCATTCAAATGCTTTCTGGTGGCTTCTTCATACATTCTGCCATTCTTCGCTAGCCGGTCAAAGATGATGCTGTAACAAACAAATGCATTAAACTCGGTGAAAAGCTTAATATAGCATGATCTTTAATTTTCTTTTTCTGTTTACTTATGATTTTTTTTTTCTTTTTTAGAAATGCTGCAGTACACTGAAACAACTTATTCTTTAATGCATTTTTATTTTCTTATTAACAACGATGTTTATTATTCAATATCTGCTTTTGGATATAACAAAAAAATTCAAGCATGCATAACTGACAACAAACCTATCAGCTCCTTTGCACAAAAGAAGAATCTGCCCCTTCTCGTCTCTAATAATTACAGACATTCTCTTCCGTTTGCTAGTGAAATCCAACAGATTGAGAACTTTGAACTCCCTGAGTTGACAGAAAAAACAATTATGAGTCAAGCAACACATTCCATGATAAACACTTGAAATGAAGGATACCTTGTGGTCTCACCTTTCAATCGGCTCTTGAAATGAAGGATACCTCTCACGTACAGAAACACTTGACTGCGTTCTCCTACAGAACTCGAAACCAAATTCTCTAGCAGCAACAAGAAATGCGCCTTCATCAGGTGATTCTGCCTCATAAGTCAAGGCCCCTGTCTCTTCATTTTGCTCTGGGACTGCTGTGTGACAGAGTGATAATATCCTGAAAAACAATAAAATAACATTCTCGTTCGGTTCTTTAAACCAATTCCCACTCATAAGCCGGCTATCCTCGAAGCTGAAACCCTTTATTGAAGGTTTTGGAGCTTCGCCATCTTTCGAGGTAACAACAGTCTCCAATTGGATTTCTGATTCCTCAAAATTGTGTACATTTCTTTCATTTTCGCCCTCCATGACCATCTGTTTGGCAGCAGCAAGTTCTACATCACTAGCACGGGTACCATATGCAATGCCAGCAATGGAGCACTTTAGAAAGTCCATCTGGTTACAAGTCAATGTCCCAGTTTTATCGGATAAGATTGTGTCAACCTGTCCTAATTCCTCGTTTAAGTTTGATGTTCGAGCCTGAGCAGGAGTCCCAGTCTCTTCATCGTACATATGGATATCCTGGTTCATGAATAGAGCTTGTAGGACTTTTACGACCTCAATCGACACATAGAGGGATATCGGTATCAAATATCCATACAACATAAGAGCAGTGATGAGATGATAAAATCCCGACTTTAGCGGATTCCTAGGGTTGAACAGACCTTTGTCATCTGGGACCTGTAAATACCACCACTTTGGCAGATCGTATTTAGTCTTCACGATAAAACCTACGCTGCTTATGAATGACATGAACACTAGAAGACTGAAAAGAATGTATATTATTTTGTCCATTTGCTTCTCTATCCTACTTCTTTTTGAAGGGGATTTTGTAGCGTTCTGCATAACCTTTGTATCATGACCGGTGAATATCACCACTCCATAAATATAGGCCGTGTTACGAAGCTTTGAGTCCCTGAGAAGAATCTGACTAGGATCAAGGGGATATACACGGTCAGCATATTCAAGCTTGCCCACGAAAGTGTAGAGGTTAGGATTAGGATCCTCACAACGAATGGTTGCATGAAATTCCTTAAATGTCAGATCATCATCAAGGGGTAACGTCGTCTCAAGGGCTCGTTTAACCTTCAAATTCGTCTCACCATCTAAATTCATTGTCTCAACGTAACAAATCCCGTCTTCATAGCTCGAGGACAGAAGCAGCAAATCTGCAGGGAAAAACTGATCCTTCTCAACCTTCACTATATCTCCAACCCGAAGCTTCATCCAGGGTTTAGGAGCAAACACACCTTCTTTCTTGTGTAGCTTAGCTTTTCGTAAGTTGACCTTCATATCCTGTATAAATCTTCGCCAGTCTTCAAGAGCTTCTTTAGCCATACTCAAGCCAACCACAAACACCAGTGGGGCAATCATACTTAGAGGAGCAAACGGTGTTACGGGAGTAAGGGATAAGGCTGCGGCTAGGAGAAAATACAAGTTGGCGACACGTCTGAATTGTTCAAATATCGCCTTTGGAAGGAAGGTGAGGAAATTGTACTTGGTGGTCGAGATATAGTTCGTGCAGTATTTGAGAGGCTTTTGTTCATGAATACGGGGCTGGTTGCAATGTACGATTCTAGAATAACCGGGCCCTTGGACTTCTTGCACTTCACCTTCCTCAAAAGGGCGTGGCCTGTGGCAAGCAAAAGTGTAGAGATTGCTCCTACGGATTTTTGCCCTTATTCTTCCCCTAGCCATTTTTTGTCACTATATTGTGAAACTCAAATGCTAATCAACTATCTACCGTATGTAAAGAACCATGGAGGCTTTCTTATGTGACCATATTTTTCCCCATGGCATGTTGACATGCCCACCACAAACTACTACCCAGAAAACCCAGATTTCAGTGCAGAACAACCTGGAAACAAATTATCAACAGAAAAGAGTCAACACTGTCGTCCACAAACCCATTACAGCCAATATTTCAACACAATCAGTTATGATACATGAGGAAATGGAGTATTAGCTCAACATCATGACGTCCGAAACAGAAATAGATGTTGAAATTCAAAATTCAAAAAATAGAATATTCAGAAATATTTTGCTCATTAAATTCAAAATGAAACACGAGAAAGGAAAAAAGGTTGACGAAGAAACAGAAAGGTTTCATCATCTCAGCTAAACGTATCTCCAGTTACAAAACAAATTATACCATCGTTAGCATCAACAAAATGGGCAAATAGAAATTTCGAAATATTCATCTGGGCGAATAAACTCCAGCTAAAATTCCTTTCTCCAGCTCCGAAATCTCAGGAACAACGAACAAAAGCGAAAAAGAAAAAGAAGCAAATGACAACCATACATAGATACATACTACAACGCAGAAAAATCATTATCACAATTCACAAACAAGGAAACAAATCAGAAAAAAAAAAAAAAAATGAATCGAAATGCTATTGGCACACGCACAAACACAGAGGACGAAGAGTTGTTTCCATTTTGTCTTCGGTTTGGTTTTTCACCTGAGAAAATTACGACCAAAACGTAAATGTGGGACGAATCGATGTGAAATTTCAGCTTGAGGACGGCGTTGGAGGACACAGAACGCAAAGGACGACGAGAAGAAGTCGGTGGTCGGAGACGATAGATACAAAGGCTTTTAGAGAGAGAAAGAGACGTGCGCGAAAATAGAGTTTTTTTCTATGTCGAAGTGCACAACGCCATTTTTTCACGCAGTCTCTCTGATTTTTTTTTTTTCCTTTTTAACTAAATAAATATTCACAATAAATGGTATTTAACTATTTTCTTGTTTGAGGGGAAATATATTTCAAAATGCATGTATCCTATGTTTCTATTTATATATAATACTCTAAATTATAATATTTTGAATATAAAAATGTGTATATTTGTTGAAAATAATATGAGTGTCTCATCGTTGGTACATAAATTCAAGGTATGTGTTAATGGTGGCATGGTGCATAAACAATAACCAAACAACATTCAATTATGTTGATTAATAGTTTTTCACTATAATTATTTCATAACGATAATATTATTTCTGGTTAAAAAATTACACAAAAATGCAATTTCTTGTTAAGCACATCACTATCTTAAATGTAGCTAGCCTAAGCAAAAAATTAAAGGACGTTTCACAATTGAGCAATAAATTATTGCAGATAACATTATAAGGAAATAAAATGGTATATTTGATAATATTGTCTTTTTCACTTAAAGAAAAAAATTGGCTAAATTTAATTAGTTTTTAAGTAATTATCTTTGGCAACAAGTAACTCCTATTATAAGATGACGAAAATAAAATACTACCTTGTGTCAAGAAAACTAATGGATGCGTATAATTATGGTTCCAGCATTATTCCCATAAGAAGGATAGAATTGTATAATTCAAATTATTTGATATTTCGCTAAATAATCGAGACTGTAGAGCAAGTGCATGAACCACAGTTATGAACTGTAAAATTAATCATAATTCCAGTACTGAATTCACATTTAAACAGCAGCTATGTATTTCACTTAGTTTACAAGTTTGTAAATAAATTAATAAATTCAGACCGGATATATTTAATACTACTAGAAAAACATTAATCTTCATCGTGGTCAAATTGATGGAAGCTTTGATGATTTACTCATTAAAATATGAATAATTATGATATTTTTATCCAGATTGTTGCATGTTATAGTAGGCTGCTGTCTAGGTAATATCAGTGTTGTTAATCTATGACTAAGTTCATGTCTACATTACTATGTTATGCATGCAAAAATTGAATTTAAACTGCAAAATAATAAGAGATCTATGTATTTTATTCACCATAGCAAATTGCTTCAGACGTGGATTATGAAAATATAGTCGCATAAAAAAATATTAGTCATTTTACTAGAAGGAAATCAAATTTGAATATCTTAAAACTGTTACGAGAAAATCCATAATAATTAGGCACAAACTACAAAGGGAGATTTTTGTGTATTAGATATTTATTATTTGGACCACTTGAAAAATAAAGTTAACAAAAAAATAATGATTGCTTAGATATTTTATTATCCCCACAGTAAGGCCAAAGCACGTCCATTTCGAAGGGTCGAAAATATCAAAATAGTTATTTTACGTGTTATCTTATCCGCCCAGCACTTGTACGATTCATACTTTTCTAAACAAATTAATATTAATATACAATATATTTAAATGATATATCAGTTATAAAAATTTTGAAAATATGATTAACAACTACATTTTCTTCATATAATAATTTTCACATGAATCATCAAATGCCCCAAAAAGAGAAAATGATGAGAAACTATATTCCAAAACCTATTTTATGCAACAGTGTTCGCAAATTCTAAAATAGAACTTGGACCTGGAAATCTTATGCAGTACATACACAGGCCAATTCTAAAATATGCAGCCCAAAACAAGTGTTCTCAAACATGGGCTGAGATCATAATCCCAAACAAACAGCCCACTACAATTAAATAGTGGACAGAACAATTAAGCAGTGTTTGCACTTTTCAGCAACTATTTTCCCTTTTAGTGATCCATCTGATTAAAGCAACGTAAGTTGAGATTGGTAGAATTTGTTTGCATACAGAATAAAAAAGTGGATATAAACCAAAATTGCAACTCAACCAAAATATTCATATAAAAAATATTAATGTCCCTAGTAAATTGTAATATGCATAACACAAAGTGTCCTATCTCAAGGAGCATAAAGGGGGTGGTAAAATGGGACAATTCATCTGAACGAAGGCTATTTTCAATCCCTCATGGAAATATAGATTCCTCGCTCAAGGCCAAATGAGAACAAACGGAATCAAGTTATCTATTAAACGGAACAAATGGCAAATTGGCAACAACCAGAGGAAAAACAGGATTATCTCTTTCGTGTTCAGCTGAATGAAAAACTTAGAAAAGATTATACCAAAAGGAGCAACAGCAAATTATGTCGAAGAATGAATTTTTCACCAATTGTATCAGGTAATGAGAAATGAAGTTATCTCAAAAGAGATCTCGTCAGATGCTCCCGTGCAGTTGCTAGAGCTTGGGATATAGTCTGCAAAAGGATAATGATTCGTTTTCAGACTACATAAAATGGTCGCCATGAAATAATAAATCATAGGAACTCCTTTCTGATTTTCTATTTATGTAATATAATCAACTTAGGGCTAATTACAGAACCTATATGTCATAAAATCCAATTATTTTCAGTCACAAACATCCCGCCATTAAGGAAGAATTCAAGAAAATTAATAAAATCCTAGGCTTTAAAAGATATCTGGGTCTTTTGTAATTAGCCCTAAGCCTAAAGGATATCTTCTCCTATTATTCCGTCACTTTGTAGCATTAAAAAGGACATGGAACTCAATTAACCCTCCGACTTTACTGGTGAGTCAGACAACTTCATTTATATTTTATGAATATTTCAATAACATAGTCTTGCATGCATTAAGTTCATAAAATCTGTAGATCTATCAAAACCAAAAAGCATGTAACAAATTGAAATGAACCGAATAAGGAAATTACCTGCTCAGACAATGGAGCACCATCATCCATGGTATGGGAAGCCACTTTTCCAGCAATAATGCTACCATCAGTTTCAAGAACAATCCTGAAAATAAACAACTATGTTGGAATACATTTCAAGTACAACTGTGGGTAAGTTACAAGAAAGGCTAACTGAGGGAAACAATTCATTTCAAATCAGAACAAGCTTGATCACACTAGTCGCTGAACCATGATTGTTGTAAACACAACCATAAAACAGCATGGCTAGATCATGACAAAAGATTACATCAATTATTCATTCGTCGGTATATACAGAGTGATGGGAGAAATACATGAGATAATTTTTAGCTAATACGAGTATCTGAACTTTTAAATGAGTTCATAACTTACCCTCCATCAACAATTTCATCAAGGCACAAAAGAATAAGATCCAAGTTTTCCAGTGCCTCCCTGAGGTCAACATTATTCCTGACACAAGCACACCAAATCATAAAGCTGGCAAAATAAGATTCCGATTTTGAGCCATGTAGAAATTTTTTAGCTCATTCAAAACCTGAGGAGAAGGGTTACTGCTTCAACAAAACCCTGTAGCACAGTAGCTAGGATCAGTTCATTTTCATCATCACCTCCGGTCACAAAGAAGTGCAGATCTTGAACAAACTTATACACGATTATGTTGTTCTCCAACATTGTTATCTCCGCTACAAATGGACACATTAAAGAAATATCAGCACCACCCAAAGAAAACAACTACCAATTAGGAAATTATATTCTGGAAATGTACATCAATTTGGCCTTGCATGAAAATACAAGTAATAATATCTGAATCTCATTAATTTAAGCTGTATGAGTCTTGATCTAGCTGATAATATGAATTGATTATAACAATTATCGCAATCATATTCCCTAAAGTTACATTGTAAACTGCGTAAACAGTGGATGGAGCGAAATGTACCTTCCGCGCGAGCATTATTCTTTTGAGTTTTTGTGAAAACGGATTTCTCAAAAGCTAACTTAGAACTGTTAGTGGGCCATTCATCCGAATAGTACTTGACGGCAACACGTTTGCCCTCAGAATCCAACAAAAGGATGTTCTTTACAGACGGGCAAGCCTCCTGCATTACACAACCCCATCAGAATCCTCTAGACTACTAATCTCATTTATTAGCTATACAGTGAATATACAAACCACCGTGGATACCCGATTCAAAAGCCCGATCCACAATCAAATTATTACCGATATGAATCACAATACTACAAATGAATTATTCTTACGAACAAGGATACACAATTGATACATCTATTTAACAAGACACACACACACACACACAAACAAATGATGTGAGTCATGGGCCATGATCAAAGAGCTAAGTTCATCAAAAATTGCATAAATGTTAAGCAAAATTAAAGCTTCTAGGATAGTCATAAACAACACAAAGATCAATGGAGTCCCGGTCAGATCTATCAACAGTCGAAAACAAAATGCAGAAACTAGATCTCGAAAGTGAAACGATCGCGCACTAAAATTCTTATACAAGAAAAAGTTTCAGAAAGACAGAGAGAAAACGTACACGACTGTGATAGGCGGCCATTGCAAGCGAATGATGTGAAGCAGTGAAGGAAGAATTGCCGGCTTCTGATCGGAATCGCACTGTAAGCTGAATTTGTTGGTGGGCTCATTTATACAGTATAAATAGAATGGGCCGGAGAAAGTTTAATGGGCCTGTCAGCAGTAAAGAAACATCTTACTGGCTTCTGGTTAGTTATGTGTTCTGCTAATATTAGTTGGCTTAATAAAATAACTTGTATAACGTTATTTAAAAAATTTATTGCAAACCCAAGTAAATTTTCATAACTTCAACTTCAAGGAACATGACTGATTACTTCCTTTCAATACTATTTTACTGGAAATAAGTACTAATATTACAAAACATATTTTCAACTATAGTCAAGGTCCATCCTAATCATGATTCCAAATATAACAAGTGGTGCTTGATTGCATTTTATAAAAATCAGCACATTTTACCATTAAATATCATAATAATGTTTACTTTGTTATTTTAAAGGATCACATTTTATAAAAATCAGCACATTTGTAAAACGAGTGTAAAGTAAATTATTTTTCTTTAATCACTTTTAATTTCTAATAAAAATTTCAAATAAATGCTAGTAGACAAAATAACATCAAGCAGTAGTGAAAGTTAAAAGAATATAAATATATTAATGTGGACCTTACTCCACATTATAACAATTAAATTATTAATTAAATAGTTGAATAATATCAGATTGATTGATTGATAATTTTTCCTTGTAACATGACATTCCATGCACATTTGATGTAGGGTGTTTGTGATCATTTAGATATCTTTTACTGACAAGTTGACTTATGTAGTTATGAAAATCATTTCCCATAATCAAATATGGTGTCACAAGGCACAAGTACTACATGAGTACATGTGCAATGTCGATGAATTTATAATAAATAATATTTATTGAGTTCATTAAAGCAAAATCTGAGTTAGGAATAATAATGTAATCTCAGGATTAATTAATTAATCAGAATTTTATTGGAACATATTTTTTTTTCTTTTTTGGTACTTTGTTAAAGATTTATTTTTCTCGCTGTTAGAAACCCATTCATCATTCTTTTAATTAATTAGAGGGCCACACCGCCAGTCACAATCATATAATTGCAATTTCGATGTGTCATAAACGGCATAATGATTTTTATCTTCAAAGTAAGCTAAAGAGCCAAAGATTATTGAAATGGTTATTGCATATTTTTATCCTTTTATCTCAATTTATAGCACTTTCTTATTCGAATTTTATAAGTATCTCTCATTACAATTGTTCTCGTACACGGTACATGGTAGAGTATAATAATAAATTAGTGATTAGTCCCATTCATCTTGAATCCAATCATCTTGAATTTGTGAGTTACTAGTGACAATTCAATAGTTACACACACATAACATATATAAAAATAAGTAGTTACATAGTGTTGTTAAATTAAATGAATTTGGCTCGGCTCGTTAGGATCTAGTTCGGCTCGAGTTCGAGGGCTTAGTGAACCGAGTTCGAGCTCATTTAAAGTTCGTTTGGTTAACGATCCGAGCTCGGTACGGCTCAATAAGGCTCGAAAAGAGACTTTTTATATAATTTTTTATAGTTCAGCTGAGCCGATCTCAAACTTTAACGAGCCGAACTATAAAAAAATTATATAAAAAGTCCTTTTTCGAGCCTTATCAAGCCGAGTCGAGCTCAGATTGTTAACCAAACGAGCTTTAAATGGCTAAGGCTCGAGCTCGAGGCCTTAATGAGCCGAGCTCGAGCTCGATTTTTGGCTCGTTTATTTAATGAGCCGAGCTCGGATCGACTCGTTAAAAGCTCAAGCTCGGCTCGACTCGTTTACAGCCCTAGTTACATATACCTTAACAAGAACATGAAGAAATTTTGACGTGAGAATCATGATAATCGAATATGATGCTATTTAAAATTATGAATAATGCTACTTTTTTTTTATGTTACGGGCTATCATGCACACAAATGTTATTATCTTTTATATAATTGTTGTCTGTAAAAAAAAGAATTTAATTNACACAAATGAAAATAGTGTTCTTACAATCCCTTTCCCTTTATTATATATAATTTCAAAATACGCTGAGCTTAAGTGACAGTTTCGCACGCTTCGTAATCTTACATGGCAAAATGTTATGCTTTATAATATGGCTTGAATAAAAATAATTAATTTTTTATACCAAATAACTTAGGTTCGAATTACCATATATATAGTATTTTCTTTAATATATATTAATATTATTATTTGGACTTTGGTGTGTGAATTTATTATAAGTTGAGATTGTTTTATTTTGTAGGTAGTTAGAATAAATAAAAAATAAGGTATTTAATATTGATTTCTGGGCTCCGACTAGGCGCCGCCTAAGCCCCATATTTAATATATTTAAATCATTTCATATAAATCTTATTATTACCTTCTTTCTATAATGTGCATATAGCCTTACTTTCCAAATTTTGTGTTCTGTTCATATTATTCCTTTATATGTTTTAAATGAAATATTATAAATAAATTTAATGATGTATATAATTTAGTTTTCAGAATTTAATATAATATTGTTATGTCACTTAGTTATTTTTTTATAAAGTGTTCTATATTGTTCTTTAATTATTTTTTCTAACTTCAGCAATATATATATATATATATTATTTTTTATTATACATTTGATTATTTTATCAATCATCCGTGTAGTACATGGATATTATATTAGTTCTCACACTAAAACATATCCTTATTTGAATTACATGATCATCTTATATATATACATAGATAGATAGATAAAATTATTAGATAATTATATTTTATTTACAAATACATAAAAAAATTTCTGATAAATAAGTGCTATAATTATAAAAGTAATATAAATAAAAGCACCGCACATTTCAAAAGGTATGCATTTTTACATAACAAATACTAGTACGACACCCGTGTATTATATGAGTGCTTGCTAATTTTTTTTTTCTTAAAGTTTAAAATTAATAAGAAAAGTGGTTGAAAATTTAAATATTTTTTATAAAAATATATATGTTCTTAGATATTTTATTATGACACTTGTTATTTGTGCGACTTACATGAGTTATATTATAATAATAATTTTTTTAACTTATGACATATAACTACATTAAACATAAATATATTAATTGAGAAATAAATTAATTTTTTTAATTAATTTTAATAAATAATTCTATTATTAATATTAAGATAAATATTTATTTATTTATTTTATATAGAAATTATATATAGGGGATGACATATCTGATCTAGCTACCTAATAGTTAGACTTTGTATATACGTATTAGATGAGACTTTGTATATACGTATTAGACTTTATATATAGGGGATGACATATTAGATGAGAATTTGTATATTGAGATATATATACGTTTATGAACTTTCTCCTGAAAAGTAAAAGTTTCAACTTGTAAATAATAACATGATGACAACATAACTGTACACAACAAAAGTCAATAAAAAAACATACCCTCAACAGCATAAAGAAATTAAACCAGTCCATATATATGACCCTAATTGTTCTCCTTTATATGATTTATCTCAGTCATCCACAAAATGGGGTACATAACAAAATAGAACCTCCACTTATTGTACTCACCAAATTAAGCAATGGAGCCTGATGGCATTAATTGTTGCATGTGCAACATTTTGATTCTAAAACAAGAATTAGAAGAAAAAAGTTGTGCTTGTGTGATATTTTTTTAAAAAAAAAATATGTTATTATTTAGTGAATGAACTAAATTCTAGTTTTTTGCTATTGTACATAACACAGTATTCTAACTGAGTTAATAAATGAGTTCAAACTCAGTTCGTTTATCAAAATTAACTAGTTGAACTCAAGCCTCAGCAACCTGAACTTTTGAAATTACGTAAATATCCTTATTTTTCAAGTCTGATGAACTGATTTGAGTCAACGAACAACTAATTTCATTTAACAGCATTACTGACATACATACTGATATGTGAGAATATTAGCATACCATATGCCATAGGTCTATAAGATCACAACAAAAATAAGCATATTTGAATTGGTTTGAGAGCAGACGAATTAAAGAAGTTTATACTCAGATCATGTTCATTCGTTAAACCTTGGTTTAATTACGGCATATGTAATGTGGTTTTACTCTCTATATGCTCTTTTACTGTAAGGTCAATGTGGAATTCTTTATTCCAAAAAATAAATACTATGGAGCATGTCGTTTTTTGCTCTATCAAACGTGTTATATATGTGTAATTTGTTTATAGAAAACTTTCCGCCGTGTGTACCAAAATTGAAAATACATAAAATCAAATTAAGGAATTAACGTGGGACCAAACAGGATTGAATAAAACTGGCTGCCTTAATCATGAAACCTCATTATGGTTTTATTGGAGTTATCCATGATGTTGATCCTATATTAATTAATATGGAACCCTTAAAAAAGCTCACACTCTTTTCAAACTTAAATGTGGTCCTTATCTACAATATATTTTATTTGTTGTTTATTTATTTATTTATTTTACTTTGAAAATAATATTGGTGAAACTTTGGTGATTAATTATTGTATCCTTTGTCAAAACGGTGTCAAAATGGATATTCAGAAAATGAAGTACAACTCTTGGGCAGCACACACCGTAATGGAGTATGTGAATGTATGTGAAGTTAGAGTTGCAATCTCGAGTCAATTAATGTTTGACTCAAGCTCGGTCAAACTCGAGCTCGAGCAGTTCATTCGAACAAACAAGTCAAGCCTCAAGCATCATTTCGAGAGGCTCGTAGGTTCGATGAGCCCCTCGATTTTCCATTTAGATATATACCTCATACAGTTTATTGTCAATGTCAGTACACCAAGACAAAAAATCATCTACTCATGAGATTAAAAAATTAGCATATTTTAGTTGTTGAAATTTGAGTCAAACTCGAGCCATGTCGATTATCGAATCAATCTCAAACATCAAATCAATATAGAGTATTCTCATTTGTTTCTTGAATCGAGTCGAAACATTTTATATGGCTCGTCGAGCTTAAGCTCAAGCAATGAAAAAATAAAATTTGATTTGCTCTCGACAATATGATCTATGATATACTCGACTCGACTGTGAACCGACTTTGGATCGTGCGCCCACAAAGATAGGACGGATTGCTCTAACTTATACTATGAGATTGGGTAAAATTGCATTTAGGCTAAGGAAAGACATCACAAATATTAATACTAACAAATTCTTGTCTGATATTGGTCTATATTTGCTATACTATGTAAATCCATATATATGTTTATACTATCAAATATTATACTTTTGATTTATTATACTTTTGATTAAATACTTATATGAGTATGATATAGTCTAATAATAGTAAACATGTCTTTTATCAACATAAATTAATAATTAGGCCGGGTCCAACAAAAGAACTAATAATAAAATATGAAAGCTCTTGTTATAAGTCATAAATAGTGATAAAAAGCTATAAGTTAGTCTGCACATATATAGCTATACATGTTCCATGTGCGTTATATATATATTCTAAATTCGAGGTGTTATGCAAATTTTGTTTTAATTGAGTGTATTTACACTACATTTAAATCCTCATGTTGTTTTAGTGATAAGCTGATTAATTTTTGTTATGCGACTCTAATGATTTGGCCGTACGCCATTCTATAATCAACGTTGACAACAGTTTGCGATTCCTTTCACTAAGTACATGCAAATTAAGAAGTTTCATAATGTGTGCGTTCAAGGAAAGAAAGAAATGATGAGGCAGCTTTATAGTTAAATTAAATTAGATTGTATTAATTCCATATAAAATTTAAATTAAATGATGAAGGACATGAAATTAGATTTAAATTGAAAATTTAAACAGCATATAATGATGAGTGATAGATCCATAGATAAGTAACTTTTTTAGATTAATTTATTAATAAGAACATCATCTTATTGTGAGCTCTTTTATAACCTAATTTAGATGATCATATATCCACCCGATCAGAAGTCTCGGAACATAATCAAGCCTCTAAAGAATGATATGATTTTACCAATTATGATCATTATAATTTTATATAATTCTAAATTTAAATTAATAATAGTAGCTATTTAATCAATTTTTTCCCCTCATTAATTGAAGTAGTCTAATAACTGTTGCAGAAAATTTGCTTTAACTAGTTGGGTTTGACTTTTATTACTACAGGCTACAGCCGGCGTCAAGCTTAGAGTTGACTCAATGCAAAATCAGCAATAATGTGAGGACTAGGTAGGACCTAAGAAGTACAGTATCATTGTATCAAAGTATTAGTAGCAAAAAAAATTAACTAAAGTATAAAGGGAAAAAAATGAAAACCTTGTAACCCTATGAAATTAGGAAAGAATTTCATGAAAAAATACTAATACATAAGAGCATTTAAAAAAAATAATGCATAAAAGATCACTTAATTATAAATCACCACTACAAGAAATAATAAAACTTTCAATAATAAAATATTCAATAAAGTTCCAATGAAAATATTATGTTGGAATTCCATTGAAATTATATGAAGAAAACAATGGACATTTCCTAGAAAAAACAATTTAGAAATTGCATGTCCAACAAAAATTGCTACAAAATTAAATCATTGAAAATTTTTAAAAATCCCAACTGCAATTTCAAGGAAAATTTTAATTTCAACAGATTTTAATTTAGTGTTGATATCCATTGAAGTATTGTTGATCATACTTTTCAATGACATTGAAATATTCATTAAAATTTTTAAAGAAATATTTTTTCATTCAATGTTTTATTAAAAATATAATTTTTTTAGTGAACAATGCAGAAAACCTAAAAAGATGAAAAAATAAAAAAAGAAGAAGCTCAAGCTATTTATCTCAAAGTCACAAACTTCTTTTATTTTTTGTAAAGGGCCCTCCTATATTAAAGTATAGTAATTCATACACAAAGTACATTCATGCTCATCTGTTAATTAGCCTCTGAAATTAAACCAAGAAAACAAGAAACACAACTGTGACTTTAAATATTTTCAAACAGAGATGGTAATGCTTGAAACTACTTTCTTCACAACCAAACAGAAAATGGCCTAACCCAAGAAGACNNNNTTTTACGTGAGATGAAAAATGGCGGTTTTCTGAAAAAGAATAAAATCTTCCCAAAGAGGAGAACACATGGACCACCTGATTTCAAACACACAGACACACACTTGTAAAAACCACACACACAATTACACACTGTTCAATATTTGTCAAAATGGGTCAGCTCTTATTTTCTGGCCAAATTCTGGAAGAGAAATTGAATAAAAAAAAGAACCCTTTTTTTACTCTTAGTTTTCTGTGTATTTTGAAAGTTTTTTATTGCTGTCAAATGCCGTTACAAAAAAACCTTTTCTATTTTCCTGAAAAAAATGGAAATTTTGCTCATGGAAATGTTGATTCCTTTCAGGAAAATATAATTAGTCTTGTCCATAGATAATAAACTTGAATTGGCTTTACATGGAGAGGCATTAATTGTGAGTAGTACAAATGAGTAGCTGTAAGATGTGTGCTGGTAAAGCCACAATTAACTTAGTAATTTAAATTTTAAAATACATTTACAGTTTGACTGTATTTCATATAAATATAATACATGTATATGTATGTCTAAAGAAGTAATGAAACTATTGTGATTACAGTTAGCTAGCTTGAGTTATAACATTGCATTTAAACTTTGTTCAACCAAGGATTGCAAAACCAAAAGAATTTTATAAGTTAAATCATATGTACTTAATGTAGTTGGAGTGTTGGACGGGTATAATTCAAAATCTGTTGATTTTGTACACTAATCTTTACAAAGGTCACCTGATGATGCTTCTAATGTTGATTCTACGTACTCATTAATAATCTATAAACCATAGCTTGCTTGGAAGATTCAAAATTTCTAAATGTACTTTCTCATTTCATAGTAAATAACTAATTACCAAACCGAAATGGTTCTCTTTTACGCGAACTTAGTTAGCGTTCGACTATCGATAAGATTAAAAAAATTCAAGTCATTTCTTTGGTTACTAACATTGATAGATAAAGGAACTAACATGATAATTTTCTCAAAATGTCACATACATATGAAATGTTTGTAGCCGAACAGAGGACCAAAAATTTATTTATGTTGTTTTTTTTTTTTAAGATAACGAACCAAAACAAAAATCGGACATGTTAGAGGACTAGAACCAAAACTAGAGTCACATATAAAGAATCAAAAACTATTTTAGCCTACATCTAATTACCTGATATAGATATATAGATTTAGTATATAATGTGTGTATTTTACACAAAAATCAAGATTAACAACCCTATATAGCTATACAGTTCAGTATAAACATAGTCAAGAAAATTTCATCACTTAAGTGAAAAAAAA